GTGCAGTACTGACACAAATATTGTATCTGAAATATTGACAAAACAATTCTCAGTGCCAAGGCTATTAGTTTTCGTGCATGGTATGATGAAGAGAGGGGAACCTTTATCGCTGTGCGTACAATTTTGGTAACCATGGAACCGAATTTTAGCTTTGTCATGGACCTCAATGAAAGCACGTTGTTGGATATCATTCCGGAATTAACCGAGTCAAAAGGACCAAAACTTTTTATGCTTAGTTCTATAAAATAAGATATGTTAACTTAGGAATGTAACGAGGTCTCTCTTTGGCACACCCAATAATCCATAATGTAACTTTTTAATCACTTTCTGTTCTTTTGGATTTTCTGCCACTGAGATTAGACCCTATCTAAGACTCTGACCGCAAATTTTTTAGTAGATCTTAAAGTGCTTAATGTTTAAAGTTTAAACCACCACCCTATGAATAAACTAGCAATATCTCAGACTAATAATCATTGAACAATTATTTTCAACCACAACAAAATGCAGAATAAATCATTTTTGGTTATATATATAATCTCTCTCCCTGTCTTTCCGCTTCGCTCTCCAATCAGGTTTGTGTAACGCTGTAGACATATGCTCGTCGTTATTGGGTGAAGATTTCAAGAATTTTATTTTGGGACTAATAAGTGAGGAGGGAGAGAAATGCTGGGAAAGGTTTTAGAAAGTACAGGTTAATTTATTCTTAAAAAATTGAGTTCATAAAAAAAGGTTTTCTATTTTTATATGGTATTTAAAAATAATATATATTAAAATATAATTTTTTTAAAACAATTATAAAAATATAAGAACTCAAAAATCACTAATGATAATTTTTTGTATACGTGCAAAGATTAAGAAAAATAGATGTAAATCATGAAATTACATGTATATTATTGTATTGATAAGAAACTACTTTGTCCTACTTGGATACACTACTCGGTCCTATTTATAGGAAAAGAAAATTGAGTACCCTTCAGCCTAAATAGCCGAATACCTTTTCGGTTAAGTTAAAAGATAATCAACATAATTAAGGATAATAATTAGATCATTATCTAATTTAATTAAGGGACCAAAAATCAAGACTAACTCATAAAGTTCATTACTCCATAATAATTTCTATAAAAGAAAGATAAGAGGTACATGTAAAGGGTTGATTTCTGAATATTAAATAGTATTTATTACCTAAACCGATACGTGACTTCATCATCGGAGTACCTTTGCAGGTACACCCACCTACGTCAGATAGAGTCAGCAATAGAAAGAGTCAGTAATAGAAGGAAGGACGTCATCTCGAATCAGAGGAGAAAAAAAAAGATCAGTAATTCCCTAACAGGAACATTTTGGCGCCCATCGTGAAGTTCTATTTGCTTCAATTTTTATAACAATCATGGTACTTACTAGAACCCAGTAGGAAGGACAGATTCAACAAGGAGGAACTTCTCGGCAGCAGAAGGATGTCACACCTAACCAACTGATTCCTGAAGTTCTAATAGAAGGGGGAGGAGATGAAAGCTTTTTTGCAGTAATAAGGCAACTAAAAGATGAAATGTTGGAGATGCAAAAAGAGATAAAAAAAGACGTCATTAAACTGTCAATTTTGAGAAGGAAAACGTCAATATGAGGGTGGAAATCATAACTTATATCCCCTCCCAAACTACATCCTTCGCCAATGAACAGGGCGCTGCAAGAAAAACTAAGGGTGGTCCAGCAACCTAGAACCCAAACTGATCAAAACGATACTGCAACACGTGAAATTAGATGTATATTATTAAATTTTATACAGAAAATATATTAAATGAAAATATTTTTATATAAGAATAAATATAATAAAATTATACTATAAAGGTCAATATTAAAACATAAATGTGGTATTATATATAGATATAATTTAGATGAAAGGGTATATATGGAGTATTGAGTGGGGGTGAGTGGGGTGCCCTGCAGCGGCGCACATGGGATAGGGTTTGACCCTTAAGGCTACATACGCCCAACAAAGTCACATGCTCTCTTTTGCGGGCCCACACACTTCTTCCATCTCTACCCAATGAATCTTACCACATGCCTCTGTTACCCTTTTGGTCCCACTTCTCTCTCATTACCTTATTAGAGCTAAATCAATTGCCACACCATTTTTGCTATCACCTATCTTCATTTCTAGATCAAAATTTCATATTCAACACTCATTCATTTGTTTTACTTTAAGAAAATATTATTTTAAACCAATTATTAGTTCAACCTCCTTAATTTTGATTTTTGATTAAATGTTACTGATTGGGTATGTATATAATTTGGCAGAATACTTGTTCATATTATAAAATAATTGTCATGTGCCTAAAAGAAATATTATTTCATATATACTCCTCTTAAAATTTATACTTAGTTAATTAAAACATGATGCATGGCACAAAAGTCGTCTTGTATTCTAACTTGAAGAATTCGAGTTGAGAATATATATCTCCTAAAAGAATCATGTTCGTTACCATTTTGGTATAACCTAGTGATTGGGATATGGATATAAGGGATTTGGGTAGAAAGTTCAAATTTAAGTTGAAGTAAAATGTTTTTTTGAATTAAAAATACATGTTAGAACGTATGGGATTAAAAAAAAAAAAAGATGTTGCTACAAAGAAGCCAGACTTAGAAATTCAAAAATGATATTTTGCTTTACTTTAAGTTAAATATAATGGACAAGATTACCAAATCATTCTCCTTGAAAAGATGTCCCCGAATTTGCATTAATGAGGATCACAGTCATCCCACAAATCAAAGCCATAGCCATATATACAAGATTTTGGTGTTTCTAACTAATTAACTAGGCCAAGAAAATCTTAGACAAAATCTTCAGTTTCTTTATTTTTCTCGCGGTGCAGTTTGGTTTGCCCCAATGTTGAAAGGGAGTGCATATGTGGGAAACTTCAATGTGTGCTCGTGCAATTCTGAAGCAGCACACCTCACATATCAATATATAGTATACATCAATTCTTCAATGTGTTGCTCATATATCTGCTTTTGCTCCCACAATTTCTTTTGATGAACCATCTTCAGCACTTAGCGCATCCCAAAGTAAAATTTTCACCAGTCCAAATAAAGAATAAATTATGTAGATTATGTGAGTTATGCATTAAGACAGCAATATAATCTATTCCTAGTCTAATATCGTGAATTAATTAACAACAGGGACCCGTAGTTAACAGCGTCGAAAGCTGTAATCCCTGTGGTGTTAAATTAAAATGATACACGCCAACCCTAAGCATGATTTTCATTTTGTGTTGCTGATTTTGTTTCTGTGCCACAGAACATGAATCTGAACTCCATGGCTCTTAATAGGCGACATGTCCTACTTCAGAAATAATTAACTCATTAAGTTTGACAATACTCCTAGCCATTAATATAGATAAATTTTAAAGTCATGCAATATGCAGGCATATATATATATATATATATATATATATATATATATAGAACAAGATTTTTTTATACTAGTGTAAGTCTAAAAAATTTTATAAATAAATCTAATATATGAGACAAGATTTTTTTACACTGTTATAAATCTAAAAACTTTTATATTTAATTTAAATTTTTTATTTAACTTATATTTTTTATTTAATTTAAATTTAACAGCCAGTAAAATAATAAACATATGTATATAACAAATCACTAGAACAAAATTCTCTTGTCAATAGAGATCAATAATCGTCAATGTCAGTAATTTATACTGATTTAATATGTATGCGTCTACCCTCATTTACAATAAAAGCTATATATATGGTATAACGAAATTCTGTAGTGTCCAAATTTATTTTTATTGTTGTTATTAAACTACTACGTATAGAAAAGAATGAACTACATCGAAACAGACAGAGAAATAGTTAGCAATCATTTATTTATAAATTTTTTCAAGCATTTGCGTATAGGAATCCACTTGAGAAGTGAACTCCTTGAGGTTAAAATCATGTTACAGGACCAACATGCGACAATAGCTGTTGCTAAATCCAAAGACGAGCAGCGCAATTCACCCTGCAACAAAGATCATTGCTCGGCAAAGAATACCATGATGTAATGTACATTTAAGTGTAAAATTTTGTCAGCACAACCGAAAGATACACAAAGCACCTTCCATTTTAATTTTCCTCAAAGAAGAAAAAACATTTACCACTCTATCTGCCAATTAATTCATATGTCTATATTTGTGTGCGTGTGCATGCAATAAAAAGATACAGAAGAGAAAAGGCAATATATATGACATGATAAATAGTAAATGCACCTAGCGTTGAGAGCAGAAACGGGATACATTGTATGTACACGATGCTTCAAAAATGGGAAATATTTTTTTTACAAAAATTATTTTACGACAACTCATGTAAATGCACAAAAGACAAAATTATATCATTGTTTATTTTATTAACTAAAAAGATTATACTAAATATTTTTTTCTAAATCATTGTTATTCTTTCCAGAGGAGGATAATCTTACTAGAATAGCATAATTGCTTATCCAAAAACTTGAAATTAAGATTAATTGTTAAGTTAAAATAATCCTACAACAAATAATTCACCCTTTAATAATAAATATAATATTTAATTGAATATTTAACTGATAGTTTATCTCTTAAATCTAATTATAATACTTGTTCAATAATCTTTTTTAAATAAATCCTTTATGCTTTTGTATTTTTGTATGATCTATTGTAAAACAATTTCGGTAAAATATTAGACTTCTTAAAAAAAAACAACCAAAAGAAATAGTAAAATTACTGTTTTGGTGAAATGAGAAAACCCTAGGGAGTAACAAGTAAAGAAGAAAAAAAAAGGAGATAAGCAAGGGGGCAGTGGGCATCCACTTCCACTTCTTCCACTGAACAATCATAGGAAGATAACATGACCTTGTCGTCACCTGTCCCAACAAGGTGGGAAAGGTCTCGGTCACACATTCCTCCACGTGGCACAAACTCATTGCTGCATAAACTTGATAAAAAGACTAAGCACCCCATATATCCTTGTATTAATGCCAACCACACCCAAACCCAAGGAACACCCCCTCCCCCCACCAACTGTTAACGTGCGCTGCCCCTATACCTTCCCCACTATTATTATTGTACTAAGCAACCAAATCACTGAATGCATAGAGAGAGAAAGAGTGATAAAGTGAAAAATAAAGAGTGAGAGTGAGAGAATTCATGGAAGTTGGTCTGAAGAAGGAGAAGATGGTGTTTGAGGAAACTGACCTCAGGCTGGGCCTGGGACTGGGACTGCCTGGAAATGGAGCCACAGCAACTGAAGCAGAAGGAGTAAGAAAGAGAGGGTTCTCTGAAACTGAAACTGAGACTGAAACAACCACTGTGGATTTGATGCTTAACCTCTCCCCCAAGGAAGGTGCTGCTGCTACTACTGCTGCTGCAGGAGCAGATCCACGTGATCATAAGCCAAAGCCTTCACCTAAGGAGAAGACCCTTCTCATTTCTGATCCCACCAAGCCTCCTGCCAAGTAAGTTTTTTAAAATAATTGAATACTAGCCTGTGCATAAGTAAAAGACACTGAAGGGAAAACAGTTTCTAGCTACTTGATCTTTCTTTCATATAATTGAACATGTGAATGAGGATAATTAGTAGTGTTTATATTAATTTTATGGTTAATTTGGGTGGATGCCCACATGAGAAAGCGTTTGAAATGGAAGCTAAAAGGATAGATCGTGAGAAATGGAGGGAGAGGGGAGCGTTAAAATTCTTGACGCCTCGTTGGGCATAGCGTTTCTTGCTACGAATTTGATCTACATGCCTTCAAATAGTTTAGCTAGCTAGTTCATTATACGGGTTACAATAGCAGTAATTAATTAACCTTGTTAATTCTATGAGTTTTGACTATGTATATGTCTATCTTCTTTTGCAGACTGTTTAACATGCGATGTACGAAATAATTAAGAAAATTCATCTATATAGATGTTTATAATAGGCATGTGTAAAGAAACAAATAGAGGTTTGGATATATTATCATAAAAAGAAACACGATTTGCTATGTATTTCCAAGTCTTGGTGGGTAGCGAAGTAATGGAAATGGGTAATCAACTAGTGACTTTATATCATTTATTTTTTTGTTTCATTAGATAATATCCATTCCCAAGCACTTCAATTATAAAGTTATAATTATACGAATATTAATGAAATAAAATGAAATGCACGATAATTAGGGCGCAAGTGGTGGGTTGGCCACCCGTGCGGTCTTCCCGGAAGAACATGTTTGCAGCCCAGAAGAGCAACGGAGAAGAGAGTGAGAAGAACAGCCCTAATGCAAGCTTTGTCAAAGTTAGCATGGACGGAGCACCTTACCTCCGCAAAGTGGACTTGAAGATGTACAAGAGTTACCCAGAGCTCTCTGATGCCTTAGGCAAAATGTTTAGCTCCTTCACCATTGGTAATTAATTAACCACAGATTAATTTTATGTATATGCGTCTTAATTTTTTGAGATAACATTTATACATATATAAATATGGATCTTAAATTTAATTTTGTAAAAAGTGAACTTGAGTAATCGTGTGTGTGAATATACAAATTGAATTACTAACTTATAGTAATTGAAGGAAATTGTGAATCCCAAGGCTTTAAGGATTTCATGAATGAGAGCAAGTTGATGGATCTTTTGAACAGCTCCGACTATGTCCCAACCTATGAAGACAAGGATGGCGACTGGATGCTTGTCGGTGATGTCCCATGGGAGTAAGTTTTTCTCCAATTGATGACCTGAAATTATTTTGGTTGCAATAATTTGACCTCGTAATAGTTTTAAAAGAAAAAGAGAAGGGAACACAAAAGTAGAAAAAAAAGACAGGAATTCGATATGCACAATAGTGAATTGGATATGCACAATATTGAATTGTTATATCCAATGAAAGAAGTCCTTATCCAGGAAACTTTGCTTAAAAAATTTTACTTGTTCTAAAGAAACTACGTATTTTCGTCAAACTTCTATCATATCCATGTGTATCAGGATAAGTATATTCTTTATCATGTTTATTGTTTTTGGTTAATTATTTCTGCACCAGTCCTACCTCTGAATTTTGAGAAGTCAATTTTACATATGACAATTAACACACACACACATATGTAGCATTGATAAACCATGAGAATTTTTGTTTGAAACAGGCTCCTTTTCACACCTATTAAATGAGCACCACCTAATTGTTACATAATTAATTTTTTCTATGATTAATAACATGAATTATATTTATTTTTTTTCATGTCAACCAGGATGTTTGTTGAATCATGCAAGCGTTTACGTATCATGAAAGGAAAGGAAGCTATTGGACTGGGTCAGTATCTAAATTTCTTTCACTTTTACTTCAAAAAAGAAGCCCTACTTATAAGTCATGATTCAATGTATATAACCTTTCTATTTAATCATAGATACACCGTTAACTGTTTATATAATGATGTTGGTGAAGAATTGTACTGATTTTATTCAGATAAACAAATTCTAAATAAAATTGTTTCCTATGCCTCAGCACCAAGAGCCGTGGAAAAATGCAAGAACCGGAGCTAGACTAGTTGTACCGTTCCATAACCCGCCCCATCCATAGTGATGCCCAGTTGACTTAGTAACTGAAACAAGGTTAAGCTGCAGCAGACGCAGATGGAAAGAGCAGGGTGTTAAAATCTAGTGAACCTGTATCATTATGGTTTGTTATATATATAATATTTCAAACATAGCTGTGAGATATATCTAAATATAAATTATGAACAGAAACGATAATGACTCTAAATTATGTTGCTAAGACATTTTATTTCTTTACTTGTTGTGTGCTTGCATGATAATAAGTTTAATAATGTGTTTGTCAATTGTAGCTATATATCTTCATTTTCTACTTTTTAAGTTGTCCCTTTTCTTCCTCCATTATCATTATCGATCTATTCCTTGTGTGAATCATTTTTTTATTTGTATGATAATAAAAATGTATTTGCATGGATGTTAGTTTTTGTTTTAGGTCAAGAACCGTGTAGCTAGTACATGAAATGTTCCCTAAAACGTGATGGATTGGGGGACAGGATCATGTGCATGCTCAAAGAGCATTTATGCATGCCCATTGATAAATTTGATAATTTATTATTCTATTTCATTATAAAAAAAGAGAGAGAGAGTAAAGTTTAAGTATAAATATGTAAAAATTATAACTTTTTTTTTAACTTCAAAAGATTAGTTACGTGAAGAAAATAAAGGTCCCAAAATTAACAAGAGGTAAATTTGAGTTTTTACCTTTTTCTTGATATAAAATAAATAAAACTATTTATAAGTGTTTTTTAAATTTAGAAGTTTTTTATAACTTAAATTGGATACTTTTTTCTTAAAAATAATTTCATTAAAAAAATTTACTGCTAGATCATTTCGCCAACACTCATTCATCCTATTTGACTATTATTTTGCTATGTATAATTAGTCTTTCATTTTGGTGTTACTTATTAATGAAATTTGCCGGTGGCTTATGTCTGGGCTGATAGAAATCCTAATTATTTATGATATTTGTTTGTTATGATCATCCATTTCTCACAGCCATAAAACTAGTTAAATATCAACCCAAAAATTTAATGTAACCATAATCACAAAAAAAAAATAGTTTGAAAATATTATACATTATGTATCTATTTATGAATAATTAATCATTTGGTTTCTAAAAAATGCTACATATATATTCTCCATGAGGTGTTTAACGATGAAGTTGATAACAGTTGCAATTTCACTGCATCAAAAGCATTTTACAACACTAACTTTTATAATTTTAGAGCACTTTTAATCGGCATATATTTTATGATAAAAAAAACCTAAAATATTAAATTAATTACTTTTAAGTACAATAATACTAATTATATGCTAGAACTTTTTTAATGTCCATTTATACGCTTGTATATAATTATAACACTTCACATTTGTATAGTTTTTAAAGATGAATCGACCTTATACATTTGTACAATTTAATTTTCATTATACCACATAAATATAGAATGAGTATCGAGATAAGTGAGTATGAAATTTAACATTTTTCTAACTTTTATTATGGTAAGTCGAGGGTGTTCATTTTTTATCTAAATTATGAATAAATTTTATGAAAGATAATTTTATTTAAATTAAAAATATTTTATTGTATGTTAAAAAAATTATAATATAATAAAATTATTTCTTTAAATAATATATATATTAAAAACTTTATTTAAAAAAATCAAATATACAACACGTATCAATCACCTGCTAGTAACCTCAAAAGTTTTACTAACGAGTCAATGTCACGGAATTAATGACTCATAATGAGTCACTGACACCAAATTAATGACTCTTTAATACGATAATGATATATTCTTCTGACAATTACTTTGAGAGAAAATATGCTTAAAATAACCTAAAATCGCTTTCCATATGATTACCAAACACAAATTATTTACTATTATTTCAGAAATTGTCTTAAAATTTATTTGCAATGTCTGTTTGTGCAGTAACCACAATTCTTGCTTTTCCATTGACGGAAGCTTCTTCAACCCCACTAGAAATTTTGATAAGCTATTTAAGGAAGAAGACTTTTTTTATTTCCATATTTTTCTTTTTTTCGTGGTGACTAAATTAATGCGCAGAAACTGCTGGCCATTATCATATGGTGTGAGAAACTAGGCACTGTACTTTTTTCATGGGAGCAAGAGACATGAACTTGCACCTTCTTATCAAGTTGGATTCCTCACTTCCAAAATTAACAATTATTATACTAAAAACAAGAGAAATAATTAATACCGATCAAGATCTTTACTTGAAGCCATATGTAACTAATATAATAAATAAATATATAAATTCTTTATATTAAAGTAGGTTTTTTTTATTAATTTTGTCAAAAGGAAGATAAGTTAATAAAGATATTTTAACATGATCAATTGTTTATATTGATTTGAAGCAATTGAGAATGATAATTTTTTTACAGACGTGTTTAAAAATTTACTATTTTTATATATATTGTTAAAATTAATCTTAAAGCTAGACTGGATATAAATAAATTTTAAAAATATATTTTATTTAGTTAAAACAAAGGTAATAATTTTAGATATATAAGTATTAGTAATTAGGTATTGGCTTCAAGTTAAAATCGTCGCCATAGTAATGATTCGAGATAAAAGTTGCTCTCTCTCTCTCTCTCTCTCTCTCTCTTTCTCAGGTAAATGAAAGGATGATTCATTTATCATACTCATAATTAAGTTCAACAGACATTCTTTATTATGTTAAAAAACACAAATACTTTCGACTGGTAGAAAGAATAAAGAGCAGGAGAAATTATAATTATTCTTTTAAAATTAAGTAAAACTAATGAATAATTTTGTTAACAATTAATGTGTATTTAGTCAACTGGAGAATGTTGGCCAAAAATATGACTATAGCTAACACCTTTCACGTTTATTTATTTGTCGGAGTATCAGTTCACTATATATGGGACCAAAAAAATGAATCAAATGCAATTCAGAATGCCTTCCCAGTGAAGAGGAGGTTGATAGATAGTGTCAAAAAGTATATATAAGTTGAAATGTGACACATTAAAACTTACTCCTTTGTCAATGTTATCTCAATAAACCTTGAGAAAGCAGCAACAACAATAACAAATTAGAAAAGTTTACCTGAGATTTCTCTTAAGTTTTAAGTTGTTGGCAAAGCATAAATTGGCCTCAGATCAGGTTATATCCTGCTTGACATATAAACGAACCATTTTCTATAGATTTTGGAACATTTAAGGGCTGATGAAGGCATGCTTCATTCCCTGACAGTAAATATAGTCTCTTTTCTGGTCTGAAATATATGGCAACTAATTCCTTGAATGTGAAACTTGTTTTTAACAAGAATAGGGTGGACAATGTAAACCATAATGTCAGAACCTGTGGTATACTATTTTGAAATTCAGTAATCAATGTCAACTAGGGTTCACAAGAAAGGCTACAAATATTCTAATCAAAACAATTGAACAGGGCTAAGTGCCTAAGCTAGAAAGCATATAGCTGGGTAGTTTTAGGAGGGACCTAATGACATGTACATCACCACGTGAATATGGTGAACAAAACAGCACAATAGAAAAATGGAAACAAAAGGATTGAATATTATAATGATTGTTCTTGCAGAGAAATTTATTCTCATGGTTAAATTTTCTTTACAAATTAAGTCCAGTGAAGATTAGACCAAATCATTGGATTTATGGGGAAAAAAATTAGTATAAGGCTTAAGGGTGACTCAATGCCTCTACTAGTTGATCAGGGTTCAAAAATATTGCTAAATAACTACAATAATGACACATTTTCAGCAGGACACAACAACCGGCTAATGATCCGCTGCATATGTGCTTCACCAAAATCAAAATTGTCTTCCAAAAGAATTATCACAATAGAATAAGCTGTAAAAGTAAACTTGTGCTTCATTAAAACTAAGACATAGCACTATTTCTCATAAACAAATATGATATATCCTTTCATATTCCAAAAACAAATGGTCACCTTTAACCATAACAACTGTGTACCTACATAAAGGAAGAAGACAGTAATCAAATATTACTAGCAACAGCTTTTAAAAATTAATGAAGCTGGTATAAAAACAGATTAGAGAGAACCAAGAAATAAGGAGTGCAAATGTCAAAGAAAGAGTTCGAAATATAAGATTACTGCTGCCTTAATTACCGGCATTGATTTTACGAAAACTTCAACATTCTCCATTATTAACAACAAAGCTAATGACTCCAGTGTCCTGTTCTGGAAAAAGTTTCAAAGATGCATAAAAATACCATAAATTAGATTTAAATTTTTGTGCATGTACTAAACACAAGGAATTTATTCACCCTTAACTAAAATTTACCAAGTACTTTAATTCGAAATAATAATGGATTCATTATGACGACAAATACTTACAGTTGTTCTCCTTCAGCATATTACCTTATTCACAAAATTGGCCCAAAAAAAGTATAAATATGAACCTAAACATAAAAGTAAAGCTCAGACCAAATAAACCATTTCCGAAGTTTCTAAGTAGGCAGGTAAAAATGCCTTCAAAAATATAATTTTTTTTTTCTTTTAAGAAAAAGAAGAATTAATTCCCTTCCTGGTATTTACAACTTCTAACAATACGTAACGTGAGAAGTTACTATAATCCGATAGAATGCACTTGAATTTAATGGCTAATAAAATAATAAATTATAATTTATTAAATTTAAATTAAATATAAAAGTTTTTAAATTTACATCCTAACATGATAGTAAATGGACAACAAGTATATTATAAGGCTATAGCTGTCCTCTACCGGACTACCGCACGTGCGTATCCTGAAATAGAATCCAAACTCGTTTTGTTTAGTATCAATAAAAGATACGTACTATAATAAGGCATCAAGTCGTTGTAGTATAGTGGTAAGTATTTCCGCCTGTCACGCGGACGACCCGGGTTCGATCCCCGGCAACGGCGAAACTCTGTTTTAACCATCGATAATTCTTTTTTGCTTAATTAATAATTTGTTGAAATATATTGATCACTGATGTAACATAAGCAATCATTGTATCAATATTGATGTGAGTATATTAATTTGACGTTGTTTTCTTTGTGTGCCTAGACTACAATTAAGTGAATGAACACAGTTGGTCACCGCTTAACGAGATTGTTTCTAAGTGGTGAATCCCGAGAGACAAAGTGGAAGTGCTTGATCCTTCGCACCATACTTTGAGATTGCTCATGATTGGCTTAGCTTTTAAGTAGTTGTACCCCTTGGTCACTGGTCAGTTTCTTCAGATGGTCTTCTCGTATCTCCTCTCAAGTTCAGAGTGTTGGACAGCAAAGGGAAGTAATGATTCTTATTCAACCCAGTTGAAGTTAGTAACATGTTGATTACGCACCAGAGGTTCGTTCATTAGAGCTGAGGGATCGGGGGGGGGGGGGGGGGGGGGGGGGGGGGGGGGGTTTGATTCCATTCAAGACCTTAGTAGCAAGGGGCAGTTGGCATTTGTAGACACTTTGTATCGGGTTTCAAACCAGAGAACCCTGGTTCAAAATTTCTATGTTCCTAGTCAAGCCTAAACTTACTACTAAAATGTGCTAATGCTATAATAATTATTAAAATTGAAACCTTTTGCCTTGAACAAAACAGTAAACAATATATTTCATCTGCCAACAGTTTAACCCTCCCAAAGAATTCAAATACTTGCCATATAAATTGATTTGTATTTTTAATCTTTTTATAAGACTCCTTTAAAAATTCTTAATATAAAATATTCTATAAAACTTTTAAAATATTTATTATTTTTTCATATTTATCTTTTTATAAATTTGAATCTTTCTAACTTTTTAATAATTAACAAAACTAGAATTTAACTTACAAAGATAAAATTAAGTATATTATAATTAATTTGAGTTTTGTTAATCTTAATCTATAATATTAAAGATAAACTGCTAATAATAAAAAAAATTAAAAAAAAATTACTATATTTTTATAACTTCAATACAATAACTATATTTATTTTATAAATTTTTTTTTATTTATGAATACTTAAACTCAATCTTAAAAGTTAAAATTAACAAAATTTTTAATTTTTTAACAAATTATTAATAGATTAATTAATTTTAACAATTTGTATGATTACAGGAAGGAGTAATTTGTTATGAGAAAACCATACAAGTTTAGGCAATCGCACCACACAATGCCCTAACCTAGTGAACGACTTGAAGAACTTAATAAAAAATTATATATTAAATTTTATTGAAAAAATGAGGCAGTCATCCAAGTGTTATACAACAATAATGTTAAACATGAACAACTGTCTGATAACAAAGACAGTTCAAGGGCATGAATTTGAGAGCCTAAAATGAAAAACTAAGACCTGTTTGGTAGCTCGGGGATTAATCCATCTGGAATATAAATAACTCATAAGATATTGCACAAGTGTACATTATAATCAGCGCTAAAGGAATACGATGATCAGTCCACAAGCACATTACAAAGCCGTCTCTCAATCCTCCTCCGTTTTTTTTCAGGTTCAGGGGACTGCAAAAATAAAAAGATTGAATGATAAATGTCAAATGACAAAGAAATATAACTTGTAAGAATGCAAAGCATTGCATGAGTCACGCGGGTTCTAAGTCAAAGTTTTCTGCCCGTAGTTTGGGGGGAGGAGGGTTTCAAGCAAAAACCAATTCACTTGAGAAACATATCCTTTTGTATAACTGATGCAGCAACTTACTGTATGCGTGATAGCTTCCTAGTAATATACTTATCTAACCCAAGACATAATAAAAAGGTAGAATAAAACACGCTCTATTACCTCGCCACTGAGTAAATGAGGAACCCGAACCCTTTTGGAGCCATCAGGTAGACGTTTAGAAGGTGAATGGTTTTCCATAGCAGCAAAAGCATCACGGATCTACATTCAAATTATAAATTAAATTTAATATCAGAACCGGGAAGGCACCGACTGGAATCCAACCACTCAAAGTATATGTTTATTCATAAACTGCAAATTATTTAATGGTATCTAGTTCTTCAGACCCAAAATCAATTTATGAAGCTCACATCTCAATTGTCAAAGAGCACATTAATTTATTATGGATTAAATAATCTAAACTGCCTTGTTACCTGACTTTGGATAGCCCCTTTCAACATGTCTTGACAACCTGATGCATGCACATTTTCCAGAGTGGGGCACTGGAGCAAGAGTCTTTCTGAACCAATTTAATGAAAATAATCAACCATACTATTTTAAAGGAAATTCTGATAAGTTGCATCAAATCATCAGATAATAATTCATGAAGAACAGAAACATGAAATGACTACCTGGATGCAAATTTCTACAAGAATTTAGATTCAGATCATTGAGTTGTGGGCAGTTTAAGTATAAGGCCTGCATATTAATTGAAACAAAGAATATAAAGATTAGAAGCTCGACAAAGAATATTGCATCAACGTCTTTAGTAGAATGAAACTCACATCTAAGCCAGTGCAACCCCATAAACTGAGTTTCTTTAAACGGCTGTGTTTAATGATTAGCTTTTGGTTTGTAAGGTTTAGATTAGTGCCAGATGATTTAGGTAATTTGCAGTTGTTTTCGTCAGTAGTTGGATTTTGGGATATGGTCATGCCACAGTCCATAAGTTCAAGGAGCGGCAACTGAGCTGTAGCAAATTGAATGCCGCCTGAATCATGTAACAGCATATTAGGAGAAAGAAACTTCAGCAAGTATTGAAGTTTTGTGAAGTAATTGAATATGTAACACGCAATTACTTGAAGTCACGTTAGGGCAAAGAGCAAGAAGGAGTCTTGACATTGTTTCAGGGAATACATTGCAAATCATTCCAATGCCACTGTCACTTACACCAGACCTGTGATAAAATTTTATCCAAAAAACATGATTTCTGAACGATATAAACAAGGAAATTAAGAAAAACAAATATGAATTCTCGCATTAAATTTTCATTATATATTGATTATTGAGTACAGCATTGAGTTCCATAAATTATTTTTGGTCTCCAAGGAGACTACAATTTCAAAACTTCTATGGAACATTTGGTTGCAATTAGAATGGGTACAAATACATACCCACTGAGATCAAGCAATTCTAGAGTTGGATAGCTTGAGGCAATTGCAGCAACAGATGCATCAGTTATTTCAGATCCAAGAACAAGAGAGAGCATTCGCAGTCCCCTGATTAGTTGAAATTTAAACAAAACTTCAGTAACCTCATCAAAATAACATTTTCACTGATTATATAAAATGCATCCTTGTTGCATTACCGATTGATTATAGGATTGGGATTTCAGATATACTCATACATATTAATGTTGTGAATAGGCTTAAGATTTGATCATCGCCTAATTATAATTCATGCGTGTGAAGGTGTATACGTGTTACTATTGTGGTCCTTACTCAAGTTATTTGTTTCATCCCGTTCTTTATGCCCATGTTTGGCATGGAGTATAAAATTGAGCATGATCCTATCTGCTTTTATAAAATGTTCGGCACATTCAATGAATTCACAGATAGAAAGTTCAAAGCATTGCAGAACGCAAACTATCACTTTAACGAAAGGAGTTTCAACATGAACGGATATTTTCAATGACTACTGGAGAAGAGAAATCAAGATGCAAAAAATTTACAAACCTCAACTGAGCAGCTGTAATAGCAAGCACAGCAGCATGTGAAAGCCGCATTGAAGCTATGTGTATGTTTTGCAATCTTGGACAGCTTCTTCCCAAGCCTTCAATCATAGTTGTGAGATCAGTACCATCATTTTCTTGGCTAGAAAACTCCAAGGAAATCTCTCTCAACTGGGGACAATTAAATACCTATCATTTCAAAGCATCCGTAAGTAACTAAATTTCATGCGGAACGCAGGCTCAGGGAATAATTTAAATATTGATCACATCATATAATAATATAGGAGAAAGAAAAGACAATAATCACCATCTTAGAAAGAGAGTGCAGCTCTGAAAGCCAAAGTGTAGAAAGACTAGATGAACAGAGGACAAAACCCCCCAGATTAGAACAACCTTCCATCTTGAGGCTTTTGAGGCTTCTTTTATCAGCAACAAATCGGCCTAATTCATCCCTGCATTTTCGTAGTTGAACAGCGATGAAGCTAATATGCAAAAAGAAGCTTTTTTTTTTGTCAAAGTTGCATACGCTAATGTTAGCTCTTATTGCATATGAAGGGTTCAAGTAACTACAGGCAAAGAATGATCAGAAAACAAAAAAGGTCCAGCACCTTATACACAACAAATCAGTAACATGAATACTAACAGAACAGCCAATGATGAAGAACAAAAACTAACTTCTGAAATATAAAGCTGTGATAGGACAAAAACAAAAGTTACAGCCCTGTCGATTGAAGTAGTCACAATCTATGACATGGGACATGGCAATATGACATCAAGACTTCATCACCCTACAAGGTGACAGAGTAAACAATAACCCATTTTTCACCCCGTACAACAATGTGAAACACAACATTCTGGAACTGTGGCTTTCATCTCTAACCCACTGAACCAAGATGACATGACCGCATAAGCTAATGTTATATAAAATTACAGTTAGTGAAGAGTATTCAGATGCTCAGGAACTGAGAAACTTGTTTTACATATAAACAAATAAAAGGCTTGAAGAATTAAAAAGAAGAGAATGAGTTATACCCATTGATTCGATTGGTTGCACTATCAAACATGGAGATCTCCATAGACTCGAGATTAGGGCATGAGAAGGCAATACAAGCCAGCATCGTTGAATCGAAATCACTGCGACGTCAAACGAGTTAGATTTAAAAACATAAACATGAAAGAAAAAACAAAACACTGCATCTCAATAAATTGGCAATGCGATCCCAATCCCAATTTCAAATTAATATTTTCAATAAATCGTGATTAAGATGTTAGCTAATTGTTCACTCCTCGATCTGAACGAATTGTTTGATCAAAACAAAAATGAAAAATCCAGATCCTTCCATTGAATAAAATCAAATTCCCAAACACACCTTTCCATCCTAAGAGAGAGCCTCACAATCCCGGGACACTTCTGTAACATTGACGCAACAAAACCGACCTGAACGCTTGCCGGAACCCTAAGCTTCAACTCCTCCGCCGCTCTCCACAATTTCCTCGCCGTCTCTCTCCATCCCTTACACACCTTAGCTGCTGATAGCAGCCCCGCCGGCGGTAGCCTCCTCAGCACTTCCCAAAGGAGACTCGCCGGCAACCCGCACGAATCGGTATCCAGATCTAGATCCAGATCTGCTTCATCAAACAAATCTCGATCCACCATATCATCCGGTTCACATAGATCGAGTCCAGCGGCACGATCGTCCAAATCATCGAACGAAAGCGCACGGCGGAGATGCGACGGCGGCTGACGGAGAGTAGATGTGCCGGAAGGAGTGGTTATGGCAGACAGAGAAGAATCAGCGGGAGCAGGCGTGGCGGTGGCGGAGGAGGGAGTTTTCACGTTACAATTATGACCCTTTTTGGGAAGGCCACACCGGCCACAGTTATAACTGCCCCGTTTCTTACCACGCTTAACATCGGAGTTCCCGGCGGTTTCTCCGCCGTGAGATGGCGGTAACGCGGCGGCGACGTTATAGTGTTGCATAGTGGTGAAGAGAAGGAGGGAAGGGTGGAAAGCGTGAGTGAAATATAAGACGTAGCGCGGGAGAGTTCGCGCGCTTTTTTATTGTTTTTAACGTTTCTTTTTTTATTTTTTTTCAAAGTGCTTGTTTTATATCTGCACGTGCCTCAGACATCTTGTGAGAAGAACCATAACAGATTTTGTAATTAATCATTCTAATCATACAACGTTATCTTCCTTGATTGAAATGTATCTTTTTTCTCTAATTTGACAATTTTTTATGTCATTCAAATACATTGCTTTTTAGGATTATTGATTTTTTCTGGTTTAAGTGCTTTTTATTTAAAAATAAAAACTTCCCTTTTTTTCTTTTGAGAGTGAATATACGTGTTCTTTCTTAGCAAATTAATTTAGGGTTCTTCAACTTTTTTTTACCAAAGTGCGTTCCATATTTAGTGTATTACATACATAGTTTGAATAGATTTAAAATTTTATTTTTTTGTCGTAGAAATTTAAAGTATATTTGATTTCTTTAAAAAAAATTTAAACATGCTCTTATTAGTTAGTTTTTGCTTTAAATTTTGATAATTTTTTTAAATAATATTGAAAAAATTACTGCATATTTAATTTAATGTTTTAAAGTGAGTTTCAAAAATAACTTCATTTAAACCATAAAATATAATTGCTTTTGAAATATACATTTTTATAAGAAAATTAAAATATTTTTTAAAATGTATTCAATGTATTAAAATTATAAAATCACTTAAAACACGTCTTTTTACATACTTTAGAATATTTAACTTAATGTATTAATTATGTTATATCATATTTTTACAGACACGCAACAAATAATTACTTAAAATAAAAATAAGAATACAAACTAGAGTTTATATTATATGATTTACGTGTAAAGTATAATTCAAAATATAATTTTTTAAAATAAATATTTTCACTTAAGTAAATTTTTGCGAGTTCCTTTTAAATGAATAGATATTTGCATCAAAACTACAAAAAGATTTAGATCCTAAATATGACTATGTATATGTTTGACTAATCGAATAGTTCCATTAGATGACAAGAGTGAAGACAATGTGAAAAAAAATAATAATGTGAAGTGTGAAATTGATGAAAATGATGAGTATCATAATTTAAAATTTGAGATAATTTAAAAAAATTATTAACTAATGTTTTTATTCTATAATTTTATAAGAATTATTTGTTACAATTTGTATACGTTTGTTTGTTATAAATTTTGTGTTAATAATACAATCACTTTTTATTTATATAAGTTAACGTATTTATTCATTTAATGTATGAATCACTAATTTAATTATGTATTACTGTAAATATTTTTAGAATATATTATTTATGATATATAACAATTTTTTATTAGTCTAGATGATTTAGTTATTGATTTTTTATAAAAATTAAAGAAATTATTTTTTTAAACTAAACTAAATATATTTTTTTAATAATATGGAAGTGAAAAAACAAAATATACTATTATACTTGCTTCTTTTATTTTTATTTTTATTTTTGTTGAAAAGTTTTAATATTTGACTGCGGGATATTCAAATAATTTTGAAAATATAATCTCTCAATGTCCAGACACAAAAAAAGGTTAACGCTTACATGCAACATTGTTAATGTGGCAAACTTTAATAGATAGATGATTCCTTACATACACGAGTAACTTAAATATGACAATAGTGTATTGTTCTAATTTTTTTAGGAGTAACTATAACGTATTTTTATTTATTTTCCAAATAATAAAAAGTGAATTCATTAATTCTATCGTAAAAAAATTAAATAAAAAAATAATTTATTTCTGATACATTTATCAGTAAAAATCTAAACAAAACAATAGAATTCAATATTTAATACAACTTTTAAGTATCTAACACAGTGATTCAATCTAATTTAATACAAGACGCGAAAATTGAACATTTTTTTTTTAATTTCAGATCTCATTTTGAAAACGAATTTAATCAAATTAATAAAAACATGTCATAATTAAACAATAAAGAGTTATATTCATGTATATAAACTGTTTTTTAAAATATAATTATACCCACCAATAAGAAAAGAGGTATAATAAAACCACCGACAGCTTTACTTACCACATGTAATAAACACAACCCATGTGAACCCAAAAGTCATTTTATGATTTTATCAAAAAAATAAAATATCATTCCATGTCTGTTTCAGTAAGTAGGTCGTGGCTTTCATCTTGGTTTTATTAGTGTAACCCCAAAAAAGATAATTGCACCGATATTTAAATAATAACAAAAATCACAGTTTCACATCTTCAAAATAATGAGAATTATATTAATTTCGTTGCGGAAAAATAAAATTTAGTGAAAACTCAATCGCATGGATTTCTGTAAAGATTATTCAAAATTATCATATTAGAGCGATTTTCTTATAAACCAAATCACAGGTAGTCTGCTGAAAATGTAGTTGTACATGTACGTATAACATAATATCAACAATCACACGACACTGTGAGACATGCATATATAATCGATCGATAATTTTTTTTATATTTGATCTGTCTTGGTGTTAAAGCATACAATCGAACATTAAAATTAAAGCAATTTTGTTCATGGATAGGAGAGTGGGTAAAGCGAGGTTTTTATTTGGTTTTATTCACCTCAAATGAATATCAATATTTAAAGAAAAACTTTATATATTAAACTTTTAAAATATATTTTATAATTCATTTTTGACTTTTTTGCTTGTATATAAAGTTGGTGGCGTTCACTGTGGAGAGAACTAGTGATGAAGGTTTGCGGTGTTACGTATACGACTATGCATACCGATAGAGCAACAAAATCGTTAATGAGTAATGATAATGTACAGCCTAACAACCAAAATTAGTAAAAGCTTTGTGTAATCACATCATCAGAGATAAGTATAACACGTAGCCCAACACTCAAACAAGTACACTCATTTATAATAAATAATAACAGATATAAATATCAGAATCTGAGTATCCAGAACATAAAAATAAAAATTGTTAGGCAACGAATGTGCTAGGTACACATAAATTTTCAAAATATAAATTCAGAAAGGAGTAGTATAACATTGTATTCAAACTTTATCCATTATCATTCCTGCTCATAATATTATTTAGGAAGCAACATGTGAGCACTGCCAGATAATACATGGAATATCAAATAAAACGAATACGTTAGACTATGAACGGCTCATGTTACCTGTCTTCACAAAATCAATGAAATAAAAAAAAATAGTTAATAAATTTTATGGAACATTCTAAATTTTGAATATCCAGATGTCAAATAATATTTTTCTTTTTATCTTGAAAGGAAAAATTACAACATATTAGTGACGATTTTCCACGGAAGCAATACTTCGCAATTACTGCATGTGAGACTCAACGCATTTGTTTTTACTTCTCTGGTAGCGCTTGACAACTAAAGATATTTTGATTGATTTCAACTCTAAAAATTAATATTATGCCGTATTAATTTTTTATATACACATATTAAAATTATATTTTGATATGAAAATAATAAGTTGATAAAATGAGTCTGTTCGGCGGGTTGACTCTAAACTCACCTGATAAATATAGGATTTAAATTTTTAAATTTTAAATTCAAATTTAATTTAATATTTTTAATTTAATTTGATAAGTTCGATCCAACTTAAATTTATAAAAATTCAAAATTTTTCTATTAATACTGGTTTCATAACTTTTTATACAACAATCATTAATACTTTTAAGCGATTATCTTATTTTAAATGTAAAAAATACCTTTAAAAGTTTACTTTTAATAATACACCGAACATTTATTATTTTTAATAGGATAAAATCAATGTACTATAATTTAGATATCATTTATTAACTGATTTTTTTTCATAAAATATTTACACTTAATATTATCATAAATTATTAAAATAAAATTTTAATTTTGATTAATAAATAAAATTAATAATATTTTTTAAAAACATCACTAAAATTTTATCTTTTATAATATAATATTTTTGTGAGATGTTATTTATGGCAAACACGAGAGAGATAAAAAATAGAAAAAAAATGAAGACATAATATTTGATGTAATAAAAATAATAGTAAATAAAGATGAGACTTGAGAAAAGGAGATTAGAAGAATATTATTTTGTTTTCGTCTTCCTCTTAGTCTTTTTATATATACATTATTTTCATTTGCAGAGTGGACTTTGAATTTTGATGGTTGTGGTTGGAAGAAGAGGAAGGAAGGAGTAAGGTGCAATATTGCATAACCCCACTTTTGTTTTTGATTAGGCACATATTCACATTACATACATACACACAAATTTCTGCGTTCATTTCTCTGGAGTCATTGAAGCTCTAACGCCATCTTCCAATGGCCACTTCGATACCAAACACGCTAATTCCATTTTCCAAAACGCGCGAAGCTATCTTCCGATCAACCCACTCCAAATCCCCAACACCTCTCACCCCAAACCAAAAGTCAACAAAACTCATTGCACGGAACTCATCCTCCATCGGCGAGCGCGTGAGACAACAACAAGGCACGCACTACAAGCCCAAGTTAGAGGAACAGCTGGAGCGGCTCCCCCAAGCGTGGCGCGAAATCCACGGCGAGAGCGACTGGGCCGGGCTTCTGGACCCCATGGACCCTCTCTTACGGATGGAGCTCATCCGATACGGCGAGATGGCCCAGGCCTGCTACGACGCATTCGACTTCGACCCATTCTCCAAGTACTGCGGCAGCTGCAGGTTCACGCGCCGCAACTTCTTCTCCTCCTTAGGCATGTCCCACCACGGCTACACCATCACGCGCTACCTCTACGCGACCGCCAACATCAACCTCCCCAACTTCTTCAAACAATCGCGCTGGCCCAAAATGTGGAGCAAAAACGCAAACTGGGCCGGATACGTCGCCGTTTCGGATGACGCCACCAGTAACAAACTGGGCCGAAGAGACATCACCATCGCGTGGCGCGGAACCGTGACGCGCCTCGAGTGGGTAGCAGACCTCATGGATTTCCTGAAACCGATTTCCTCTAACTGTATCCCCTGCCCCGACCAAACGGTTAAAGTGGAATCTGGCTTTTTAGATCTCTACACTGATAAAGAAGAGAGTTGCGGTTATTGCAAGTTCTCTGCCAGGGAACAGATTCTAACAGAAATGAAGAGGTTGTTAGAGATGTACCCTAACGAAGAACTGAGTATTACCATAACGGGGCACAGTTTGGGAAGTGCGTTGGCGATTTTAAGTGCCTACGACATCGTGGAAACGGGGTTGAACGTGATGAGGGATAGCAGGGGAGTGCCAGTTTCGGTGGTGTCATTTTCAGGGCCGAGGGTTGGGAACGTGAGGTTTAAGGAGAGGTTGGAGTGGTTGGGGGTGAAGGTGTTGAGGGTGGTGAACGTGCATGACGTTGTCCCCAAGTCGCCGGGGTTATTGTTTAACGAGCATTTGCCGGCGGCGGTTATGAAGGTGGCGGAGGGGTTGCCGTGGAGTTATTCCCATGTTGGCGTGGAACTTGCTTTGGATCATAAGAAATCGCCGTTTCTGAACCCCAATGCTGATGCTGTTTGTGCACACAACTTGGAGGCTCTCCTGCACTTGCTTGATGGGTCAGTTTCAACTGCTTTCTTTGTCATTTTCCATCCCTCACATCAATCTCTGTTTTCATGTTTACGATCACCCATAAAAGTGAATGTTAATGATGTAAGGGATATCATACTTCTGTGATATAATTTTTTGGTGATTGATATATTTTATTTTTTAAAATGTATTTCATAAATTGGTATTTTTAATTTTTTGAAAACAAATAAATTAATTGTAAAAGATATATCTAAATGAGCTAGCGTATTGTTAGTTTTTTGTTTGCATGTCTATTCAATAATAATTGAATAATTAAAAGACTAGCTGTTTTTGTTGTTGTTTGTAAGTTATATCTTGCAGCTAAAATCTCTTTCCAGTAGTGTGAAATTGTTGCGTCTTATGGTTATGAGCCTCTTATTTTTGTGTAGTAATCTATGTCATTAGAGATGAACGTTGCGTTGAGTTTGTGAGAAGATTCAAGTTTTTGTTGTAGATTATTAATTTCTAGGCTTGGACATGGTGTCTGGAAAATTAAACGAAAATAAAATAAATTTCGGGTAAGTTGATCTGAAAGATTGTGCGAAGATGTTCCTAGTTTCTTAATATGTATCAGGATCATGTGAACCTGACTCATGTATGTAAGGTTTGAGAGAAAATAAAATAAAAAATTGAAAAAACCATCTGTTGTCGGGTCCACATGCAATGGTTCGTGCAAGAAATTAAATCGTCGTTGGGAAGGCCAGGAAGTCCCAAGTATTGTTGCCAATTGGCATCTAGTTTGACATGAACCCAACTCAATAAATAATTCCTAATTAAAGTCTTAAAAAACAGCCTTTCTTTAAAAAAAATAATAAGGGATAATGGTTTTTTGACATCCCATATTACGGTGCAAAGTATGTAGAAACAAGAGAGAGAGAGAGAGAGAGAGAGAGAGAGAGAGAGAAATGAGAAAAAGAAAATAAATAATGTGATGAAAAAAAGAAAAGTTAAAGAACAGAAAAGAAGAAATGTAAAAAATAAAATAAAAGAAAGTGAATGTTAAAAAATCAAGCTCAAGAATAAATAACAAACTATTAATTGCAACTTCTGTCGTTGTTAGGCGCTAGATAAGGATAGAGTGTAGTATGCATTGATTATTGTAAGCATGCAACTCATGAGATGAGCTATCTATTACTATAATGCTAGTTACATAAACAAAAAGGAAGTCATTTCGTGGATGGAAAGGGATAGATGATTATTATAAGAATTCAATACTATAATAGATTAGTTACGCTTGATCTCCCAACTTTTTTTGAGCTCAAACATATATATTGGTAGTATTATAATAGGTATATCGTAGATTAGACTGGGGCAATTCATTATTAATTCTTAACTGGTGGATTTCGTTATTCAAGTTCTTTACGGACTCGTTCATAATACTTAGTACAGATACTAGATTTTGGAAACCCCTCGTATAATGTCTTTATCTTGGTGTTATATCATCCTACAGATACTAGTCCTTGATTGGCAGGTAAACTTTTTTTTTTTCTTTACCTTTGTGTTTATACTACAAATACCCTCCCTTGGATGATCTATATAATTTCTTATAATTACTTGGTACAGATACATTTTTTTCTTTGACTGTTGAAACCTAAGTGACGACGTATTTCTCCAGCCATCAAGTTAGTCAAATGATCGTGAAATGTAAAATAATACTGCCATATTTTGTGCTAATAATGACATTCAGATAACTAGTAATTAATAAAATGAGAATGGGATGAATAAATAAAGTTTTGTTCAGTTCAGTTTAAGCACGTACATGAAATAATTTTTAATAAAAAATCATTATATTGAAAATATAAAAATGTACTTAAATATATTTTTTTAATAAAATAAAGATTGATTATTATTACTATTAGTTGCTAAATAGGATAATCCATGCGATAGGCTAACTTTTTTGCTTGTGTATCACTTGATGACGAGCAGATACCACGGAAAGGGTGAAAGATTCGTGCTAGCGACTGGAAGGGATCCTGCACTGGTGAACAAAGCATGTGATTTCTTGAAAGACCATTACTTGGTTCCCCCACATTGGAGGCAAGATGAGAACAAGGGCATGATCAGGAGCAATGATGGACGCTGGGTGCAGCCTGAGCGACCAAAGCTTGACGATCACCCTGAAGATATTCATCACCATCTCAGGCAACTTGGTCTGGCTTCATCTGATATTTGAATGGAGAAGCTTGCTGGGACAAGCTTGTCAGTGGGTTCTGGATTTATTTAAGTGCATTTTGTCCCTGATTCCTCACTAATTAATGTGCATAAAGTTATAAATGTAATATTGATTGTACAAGTGTATAATGTTTTGTAAGTAATCATCAAGTATACAAGGTGTTGGAATTTATAATTTGTCTCGCTCAAGATTAGTTTTTCAATTAATTTTATTGTTCTTACAAGTGACATCAAAATTTAACTAAATATTACTTCATTTTTATTTATAAAAAATAATTATTAATATTTTTAAATTTTTATATTCTTATTTATTGTAAGATTTGTTGATGATTTACCCTTTTCTCTCTATCTATATATATCCATCCTCGTGTGTATTTTATAAATTCGTGCTGTCCTTTCAAAATTCTCAACGATATTAATGAGATTTTTTTGGCAGCTTCACCAGCCAACATCGCCCTACAGCCAAGATAAAAATGAAGGCAAAGAGGGTCATGACTCTACGTTCTCTTCATAGTTTATATTTGTAAAACTATATCATTTAGCTGCTAATCAAATATCTTATTTGCGTATAATCAATCGCTAAACTTTCGGACCACTGCCGTCTCTTCGCTTAATTGTTTCTATATGTCAAATTATGAACCAGATTAGGGGAACTTTTTTTAACTTATAAAAAAGTCATTTTAAGTTTATAAAAAGTAAAAATGTATAACTTAACTTAAATTTTAAAAAATTAATTTATTTTACTTTATTATTCATTTTTCTTCTCTTATAAATGTTTGTTAAGAAGTTTATCCAAACTAATTTTATACGTTATCTCTTGCGTCGTCATTGCTTCTAACAAGTTCTCTCTTGCTTCTATTTCGATTGAAGGTAATATCGATAAAATAAGGTCATCTAGCTGGTGGGAAGAACTTCGAATTTTAACATATGCATATATATCCATTGACTCGCATTATACTCTTGTTTTGTTGGAAGAACGTGGAATTTGCTAAAATGAATTTATTTTTAAAATTTGTGGATAACGATTTTAGAAAACTCCTTCCTAAATGAATTATTTTTAAAATGAATCAAGTAAAAAAAATAAAAAAACCATTCTAAAATTTATTGGATTGAGATACTTATATATTTAAATTAAATCAAGAATGTACATTCTTACTTTAGAAACACCCACTTTAACCACAAAGCCACTTTAAAAAAGTATTGTCCATGGTTATATCGGTTTCCACAAAAGACAAAGGATATGTATAATTTTTGTTACATTTTTAATTCAATTTACCGTTTAGAAAATAACAGTTTTTTTTTACTATTTGTTGAAAATAAATTGGAAAAGATATTAAAAAAAAAACAGAATCAAACGTTAGATGCTCCAAAAGAAGGGAATACAAGGAAAAATGAACAAGGCATAGACATGCCGAAGAACGCACGGATTATAGAGCACAACGTTAAATGTCCTGAAGGTAAAAACTCAAAGCAGGATAAATTTGGCGGCTGGAAATTGCGAATATAGAGAAGGGTACCGTCTAACTCACAAGAAAAAAGAATATTATTCATGCGGACCATTGTTATTTGTCTCAATTCCAACTACTTCAAATTAAACTCCCTACCTAAATTTCGTAATTTGTACATGAAAGGGCACAGGATAAAGAGAAAATAAGTTCAATTACAAATGGAATCCGACATCAACCAAAATTCCATTCGCATTTTTTCCAGGCTCCCAACCATAATTACATTCGAAGACTAAAGAATAATGACTATCGGCCACAATGGGATATTCCATGTTCCTGAAAGCTCAGATCTTCCCAATAATTTAATAACCACTCTAATTTCAGTGACACCCTGCCTGGTTAAACATCAGAGAAAAGACAACTGGCCTGTCAGTAACTGAAATTACATATCATTCCGGAATTGGAAAAATTATGAAAAGATTTGTAAATATTGAGTAAAAAACTATAAATTTGGTAAAAGACATCGATGAGAATAAATTTGCACAATTTTAAAAATTAATGGACTTGGTTGAAAAATACTAAAGATATAATTATGGAGTAAACTTTTGCTTTAATCTTGAAATATGTTGCGTTAGTCAAATTAATCTCTTAAATTTTAGTATATGAAAATAACAATTATTTAGTTCTTGTCATTAAGAAACATAAAAATTAAGTAATAAAGTAATTAATTGCTCCATTAAATAACACACTACAGTCCATTCTAGACACAAAACTGACATTATTTTAGAATTTTTTAAAAATAGAGGTTATTTTCATCTCTTTTAAAATTTTTAAACAATAAAATATCTGCCTTATCTTTTACTTCGCCTTCTTCACTTCTTCTAGCCACTGTTGTAATGACATTCATGCTACAAAACTCTTTTGTCTTGAATTTTTACACCTGAACCATCAAATGCAAGCCCTCAAGTCTAGATGTGTCATTGAAGGTTTGAAACTAATTACATGAAGAAGGAGAGGCGGTAAAGACCAGTTTTGTTGAAATCGGAGAAAGTTTTGGTGAGGTATTGTTGGAAGGAGCAGTGAGATCTAAGAGAGTTGGGGAGTATAAAGTGGATTGATGGAAATGTTAGATTAAAAGATTATTTTGGTGGGTGTGACAGAGGGAGGAAGTTGAGCGATGAAGCTTGAGTTGATAGTAAGTTGAATTTGTTGAGTTGTGTTTGAGTTTGAGAGAAAAAAATAAGATCTTAGGTTAAACTAAAGAAAAAATTGTGGAAAGAAAGAAAGACTACTACGAGGAAAGGCGGAGCAGACGTGATGGTAGAAGGAAACATCATTGCAGTAGTTGCTAAAGAAAAGAACATAGAAAGTGAAATAGAAGATCTGTCCCAAAATTTCAAAAGTTAAGGACGAAGATTGACTATTTTTAAAATATTTTAAAACAATGTCATTTTGTGTCCAAAATAAACTTTTACATGTCACTTAATATAAGAAATTGTCACTCCATTATTCAATTTTATCATTTCTTAACAATAAAAACTAAAATGATTAAAATGATTGATGATTGTAAATTTTAGAGACTAAAATTTAAAATTTTGATGACTCACTTTAGTAAAGTTGCATTGATGGTCTACCTATAATTAAGCCTATTATTTTTTTTTATCTTTTACTATGCAAACTGCAAAGCATCAATTATATTGTATATTATTGAATGGTGAATTTTAACAAGCATAAGATATTAAAACTTAGTTACCATAAAAATTTAATTAGTATGTGCAACTGGATTTTAGAAAATAAAATTTTAAAAAATGTTTTTAGAAAATAAAGTTTCTTCCTTACCTTGATGCGCCAACTGGTTTCATTATGTAAATCATTGAAGCAAAGTAAGATAGTTAAACTCCTGCTGTAGCTTTTACTTCAGAATCTGACTTTCCCTGGTTTAAACAGCACAACCATTACTCAGATGCAAGTTTATTATACAGAACTGGCAGTAAGAATAAGTGTGAATATAAGAACACCGAATAATGTAACATTCACCCCAAACAAATCAGAGTCAAATTGCTAGGCTTAGGTGGGAAACAGGTCTAAGCAGGCTGATGTTTCGAGTCATACGTTCATGGTGAGCACAGGGCAGCTGTGGTTTATTTTGTTTTATTTTAATAAATCAGGTAAAATATGTTTTTAATCTGCATATAGTTAAATTTGGTTTTAGTCCTCCAATCTTTTTGATTGATTTTGGTTCTCATAAATTATAGTATTGTTAAACTGGTGCTTATCATCTCTTACTAATAGTGCGACATGCATTTAGGGGTAGCACATCTCATGTCATCTCCGAATAATCATAACCATTGACATCACACATCATGTTGCCTCTACGTAATGATAAGAGACGTTTTCAATTTTTTTTATAAAATTTACATCCCAAAATCGACAAAAAATATTGATAATCAAAACTAAATTTAGCTATATTTATGGGAACTAAAAACACCTTTAAGCCTAATAAATGTAGTGCCCTTTAATTCCCAGGCTCAAATTAAGGACATTTAATATTTTCACTGCCACATAAATCATCAAAGTATACAGTTTGTTGATCGGAAAGAATAAAGGATTATTTTCTGCACAAGATATCAGTGAAAGACACAAACTGAGAACACTTAACTTACCTCAGAAGATTGACTCCTTCGAATCTTCCTAGTGGGAGTTCTCATGGTCACGAGTTCTTCAGCTGCAGTTGGGTGAATGCCTACAGTGGCATCAAAGTCAGCCTTGGTCAAGCCAGCTTTAATAGCAACTGCAAATCCCTGGGTATCAAGCAAATGTATATTAAGTGAAATGAAAACTAATGTATCATTATCAAAGAATACAGAGCATCTGCAACAACTCTAAAAACCTGCACAATTTCAGGAGCATCTTCTCCACACATGTGTAAACCTAGAACTTCATTTGTCTTCGCACAGACTACTAATTTCATAAAAGTGCGGTCTGGAAGTCCAGAGATAGTAGCCTTCAGTGGCCTAAAACTTGCTGTGAAGATGTCAATATCTCCATACTGTTGTACAGCCTGAGCAAATCACCAAAATGTAAGTAAAAAATTAATCCGCACAATTCATTAAAATATTTAGAAGATATTGAACTCAATGGAATCTGACATGACATAGCTGTCTCACCTGTTCCTCTGTTAGACCAACTTGTCCAATTGGTGGTTGGGAAAACACAGCAGAAGGAACAGCTCTAGAAAATGAGAAATATAACAGAATCAATTAGGAGGAGTTAAGAATTAATAAAATACAGCAGACTGTACACAACCATCCAACATTATGGGCAGGATCAAGAATGACTGATAGACATTGAACGGAAAAGGGAAAATAAAGTTAAATCATAAGTGTATGCACTAATAAATGATTAAAGAGATATACTAGCAACACACTCTTTGACACTTATTTTAACACTCTATTATTGACTATTGGATCAAATCCTATGCGGGTCTCACAAACAGAGAGTAGGCACAAGTTAATTAAATACAAATAAAAGAGGCATGCACTGAATTTACGATGTAAAATAAAATTATTTATATTTAAAAAATTATGACTTAAACTTTGGTTTTGGCATGATGTACTCTATATAATACCTATAATCAGGTTTTGTTGGCTTATCCTGAAACAGAGTTCTTACTAATGCTGCTCCCTCCATCAAAGCAACTGGAGTGAGATTTATCCTGTCTGTAACATCTCCAACAGCCCAAATTGAAGGAACTGATGTTTGAGAGTATTCATCAACCTGGGCGGAGAAAGAGTATTAGGAATTAGAAGAGTGAGACTAGGACCATATGAATATATCCTACACAGAACCAATGATAAAGCTTAAACTACCTCTATTGCTCCATCTTCAGCCATTTTCACACCAACGGACTCCAGCCCTAAGTTCTGCAGTGAAGTTGCAATGCACAAATACATCCATTAGGTTTTCATCTCTTGCTGCTCCATGTATAAAATAAGACAGTTGTAAACGCAAAATTTAACTAACATCAAGAACATGCAACCCTTGTGGAAATAAAGTTCTAAGCCAACAAAGAAGCATGTGCAAATACACTGGAATTCAAAAGTTCCCAATCTTTGATAAATATGGAATTTGGCATTCAGCATCAGCACAGAATTTTCAAGGAAAATTAAGCATGGAACTGAATTTGTAAAAGAAATTTTAGGCCCTGAAGGCTGAAAGTGTACTAAAAGAAAAAATATTTAACAATTTAAATTGTTGAATTGACTTTTCAATTGAAAGCCAATATTGGTAAGAACAAACAAACGCCCCACCTACAAATCATTTTCTAAGCTATATAAATTTTCATTATCAGCACTTTATTTTAAAACAGGCAATCACACAAAAGTTAAAGGATATAACTGAAAGTAATACCTTAGTATTGGGTTTGCGTCCTGTAGCGAACATAATATGGGAGAAACCTTCCACAGTACCTCTGTTAGTCTTTAAAGAGAATGAGCCGTCAGCTGCCTTCATGATAGCTTGGGGAGATTCCTCATTATGAAATTCAATACCTCTTAGAGACATCTGTTCTCCAACAAAATCTCTAATCTGCAGACATAGTTCACAATTTGAATGTGAAGAAAGTTTATTATGCTGTAACAATTCAATAACTGTATCATCCACGATAGCATACCTCTTCATCAAATCCCCGTAAAACCTTCTTTTGCCGTATAAATACATGAACATCACTTGTCAAACCATTAAAGATACCAGCAAACTCCAAGGCAATGTAACCACCACCAACAATAGCTATTTTCTCAGGTTTTGAAGGTAAATCAAGGGCAGCATCCGAATCTATTGCATATTCCTTTCCAGGAATATCGGGAATGAAGGGGCGACCGCCAACTGCAACTAAAATGTGCTTGGCTGAATATAGCTTCCCATTAACATCAATTGTGTGAGGATCGATAATCTGTGGGTTCCAAAAGCATTAGAACCACAAAATGAAAGTAAAAAAAAAAATTAATCCTTTGTTAAATATTTTAAATATAAAGCTGTTTAGCATTTGGAAATGGAATCAAAGCATCATCCTACCTTTCCATGGCCTTCAATCAGCTTGACACCAGCATTTTTCAAAACATTCTTGTAGATGCCAGTAAGACGCTGCAACTCAGCATTTTTATTAGCTATCAAACTACTCCAATCATGCTTCGGTTCACTGTCATATCTCCATCCAAAACCATTACTTTCTTCAAATTCATGAGAATATTTTGACGCATAGACAAGCAGTTTCTTTGGCACACATCCACGTATCACACAGCTGCAAGAAGAAAACAATAAAATAAAATGGCTGCTTTTAGAGACGGACAAAAACTTAATAACACGATCGATGAATTCAGTGGGAAAAAAAAAAAACTAACTAATACAGGAAAAATCAACAATTGGAAAAACTAAGCTATGAAGTTTTATTCATATAGAAAACCACTATCGGTTATGTTGAAGAACAAAGAAACATGTTCATACGAATTAACCTTCAGAAACACAAAACAAAAAACCCTAGTTTAACAAAGTGAAATATTCGGCATAGAAATCAGAAACTCACGTTCCGCCGACACCGCCGGTGGTATCAGAGGAGATAGTGGAGAAAGGAAGCTCGCAGATAGCAACGGAAGCGCCGTGATTGGCAGCGAAGCGAGAAGCTCGAACGCCGCCGCTTCCGGCGCCGATGGTGAAAAGGTCGAAGTCATAGTGCGCATGTGCGGCGGCGTTGACGCCGTTTTGAGAATCGGCACGGACGGCGAAGGTGCGGCAGCGAGTGGAGAGAGAAAGTAAGGGTTTGTGAAGAGAGAGAAAGAAAGGGCGAGAAAGAGGGAACGTTTTGGTGAATAAGAGTGTGTTTAGAGTGAGAGGTGGCGCAAAAGAGAGTGAGGTCGCCATTGCTTACTGCTGCTTCCTCTTCTCGCTTCTCACTTTGCTTTCTAATTATTCCTCCCAATTCATTTTATATACTTTTCATTTTCAAGAGGAAACCTCTTTTTCTTTTTTCTTTTTGTTTGTTCTACTCATCAAATTGATCTTGAAGATTGTAACCAAGGAAAATATTGACTGTGAATACTTATTAAACATCTATTTATTTAATTAAAAAAATATTATATGATATAAGTGCTAGTTAATTATTTAAAGATCTACAGTTGCTTGTAGAGAGCATTATATCAATTTTAGCTTTTATTTTTCTCTTTTTTTGACGTGTGTTATAAAAAAATTAATATTTAAAAGTTGAAATTTCAACTGTTTTTTGTGTTATATATTTGAAGAATAAAGTTACTAAATAGAGTAAGTCAATGATATTGTTATTTACGTTTTCACTAAATAAGGGAATGAAATGGGAACATAATAGCAGTACAGTATTATATATGAGAGATAATGCAGTATTAGTAGCATAAAAAAGAAAATGGAAAAGACAAGAGCATAAAAAAAAGATAAAAAACTCAGGTAAAATTTTTTTAAGCACTTGAAAAGTTATTTCAAATAATCTTCCAAAATCTAATGAGTTTAAATATGATTGTTTTATGAATTTGATATTTATAGATAACACTAAAACGTTCTTCAAAATTTATCTAATACAACAGTAATTTAAAATTTTTATATTTTTTTTAATAACAATGAGTTTTAATGGACTCTTTAAAAAATCTTAAAAATCTAGATTAAAGACTAGTAGATTGTTTTTAAGTAACATTAAATACCAACAAACTTTTTTTACTTAAAAAAAGTCTTTTAAAATCTTATGAAATCTTAAACTAATACATCTCCTTAAAATTGAGTAAATTAACTAATAATAGTAAAAAAAATATAACAAAATATTTTATATCAAAGAAATAACGTAATTTAATGAAAGAAAGAAAAATATCTAAATTTTTGTTTGTTCAGCAGTATTTGATTTATAATTATGAATAAATAAAAATTTAACCTTAAAGGAGAATACTAAAATTAATTAATTGGCCTTTAAAAACAAAAATTATCTAACGAATGTCTTAAAATACACAATGATAAACATTAAGTGTATTCTTATTAAGTATTTTTTAATTGCATAAAAATAAAGAACAAATGACGTTTCGGTTTTTACATAATAAATATTTTATAATAATAAGTAAATAAAATTTATTTCTTTATCTAATATTAAAAATAGTTTTTTAAAAAGGGTTTATTCAGAGAGTTGAAAATTTTGAAATAAAACAAGGTTTGATTATTTGTTAATATTTTGTATTGCATTGCATTAAATAAATAAATTATACCAACGATTATAATTGGCATATTAATAAAATAATGTTTACTATTATTATTATTTGTAATGTGATGATGAGGGACTAAGCACTTAAAGAATTACAAAGTAATAGAATATAATTTCAATAAAATTTAATTGTTAAGAACTTAATAAAAAAATATGAAAATGTGAAATGCTTATGTATTATACACAACATGTTTTGTTTTTCGGTGTGTTGTTGAATTTTGAAAGTCCCACAGCTCTATACAATAAGCCCCAACTTAATGTTTACATTAATCTTATCGTGTGTCCTCTCTGTTTGTTGGCAGAGGAACATTTCAACTTTATTCTTTTTTTTTTTAATCCTATCCTTAAGTAACACTTGTGTTATTCCACAACTTTCTCTCATCCCCGCTGGTCTTGTAATCTTGTTCCACGTTTAACTGTTTTTTTTTCTCCTTTCCACTGCTTGACCAAGTCCCACATTCTAATATCATATCACAGATAGATAATTGAATAATTGTTCAATTACTGATTTTTAAAGAGAAAATTTTTATAATATTAAAAAATTATGTATGACATATATTTATACTTGTAATATTATGTTTCTTTTTATACTTATAAGCACGCAGTTTATCTTCCAAATTATATCATCTACACTTCAACGGAGCCAATTTCATACATAAAACGATGGCATGCATTTGAGCCTTAGACGTAATTGCATAAAAGCACATACCTTGAGAAATTACTGCTAATCCATAAAAATATATGAAATAGGTCTAGTGATTGTGATTTGGAGAATGAACACAACGCTTCCTTTGAACTTTAACTCGCTTAAAAGCATAAAACAATGTAAGATCCTGATTTTATTTTTGGTGTATTTTATTTATATATATTAATGCATTAAGCACAACAAGCACAAATGCTTCCTCTATTGTTCCACTTGGAGTGCTTGTGTGTGTTAGTGCAACAAATTAAACAGACAACAAAAGTAATGAAGATTAGAGGTTGAAAGAAAGAAGAGGAAATTGATGAGCACAAGTTGTTTTAATACAACAGAAGATGAGTGGAGTGTTTGCATTTTCTACAGCACATGGGCCAGGCCTTTTTTAGAGGGACAATCCTGACTCTTCATCGTCTTCGAGCGTGGAAGTGTAGACAGTATAGAAAGCCCATATAAGACCAAAGACACCCAACAAGATCCAACCAAGAAGGTTGTTGCTGAGCCCAAAAGGAAGCCCAGTTCCTTCAGTGCTCAATCTCTCATCGACCAAGGCCATTGCTGGGCCTGACATGGCTGCAGCACATGCAGCTGCTACCAAAGATGCCCCCATCCCCATGCTTGAGTTGCTTTCCTTCTCTGAAGGCTTTCCCTCCATGGAGCACCTTACTCTTCCCACCTTAGCCATTGTTGGCAAACCTAAATAAAATATTTCAGTGCTGAAAGTTAATTTTAGGAAAAAGGTTGAATCATCAATCTACATCATCAAAACCAAACTATCAATTAAAAAATAAACATAAAGAAAGGTTTGTTTTAGAGTTAATTTTAATAAAATTAATTATACGCTAATGAATATAATTAAATCGAATAAGTGAATCTTTTTGGTAGATAAAATTTTAGGTTATCTCACTTTAAGAAAAAGAATGAGAACTCAAAATTAAATTACATTCTTAAATTAATCTTAATCATAAATTTTACATTAAAAATCATTTTAAAATTAGGTTCTCCAAAAAACTCATTCAGATATGCCATGGATCAAACATTGAATTTAAGAGCTTATACTTGTATTCCAAAAAGATAATAGTGCTATATTGATGATGAAACTTTAGGAAAGGAAAAAAAACTAACCAAGAAGGGGAGAAGATGAGAGGGTAGGAGGCTGCTTTTGCACAAGGCATGCCCGTGTGATGGATGGGGTTGTGGTTGCAGCAGAGATGGTTGCCATTATTTTTAGTAACTAACTGAAATGATACTTGTATCCTCCCAGAGTGGTGGACAAAGCCAAGGGTACCAGTTTTCTTCGTGAGTATAACTTCAACTTGTTAAAATTAATATTATCTGCACCACAAAAAAATGGATAGATTGTGGCCCCTTGTTAGATATCCTTATCTGCAACCATCCAATCATTTTCTTCCACGTGTTAAATAATAGGATGGATGATCAACATTTCTTTCATATAATCTGAGGTGACGTTGGAAGTGGGACAAATTTTTTTTCTCAGAAATTAATTGTCAATTTTAAAAATGCCTTTTTTTTATATAATATTAGATTGAACAAATAAAAAAAGAGAAAAATTATAAATTCTTCATGTTTACATTAAACAATTAAAAAGAGATTAAATTTACTCTTTACTTAATTTCACTTCCCTTCTATAATTAAAAGATCCAAAAAGAAAAGTACATTTAATTTTAATTTAATAAGTTTATTTAATTATTTTAAATCTATCATAATAAAAAAAAAATTCTGTGCTTTTTTTATAATCGGAATAAACTATTTCTTACCTTCAATAAAACTTCTATCCTCACCTCCCTCCTTTCCTTTATTTAAAGTTCCAGTCACTGAGGTTTATTCTAAACCAATCAATGCCTTGTGAAACAGGAATAATTTTTTTTTTCTTTCAAATACATACACTCACACAGGTCAGAGACTGAGCTCCGTCCCTCGCTCCACAGAAATAAAATTTCAACGAAAGGGAATGCTTAACGTTTTTTTGGGGCAAAGAAGGATATTTTTATAACAAATTAGAAACTCAAGCAACCATAAAGCCAATTGTTTGCCATTCAAAATACCGAAAATTCCTAACATTACACTGTCTAATGTACCGTCTTTAACACTTTTCTCACAAAATCGTGTGAATTGCACTCTTTATTTAATCATTCTCGCATTATTTTGTAAATTTTGAAATTTTTTTTATCAATAATACAAAAGTTAAGAAAACACATTTATAATATATCACTAGTGTTTCTCTCAAAATACATGAACATTTCCCAAGAAAACCTTCCAAAAACTAGAAGAGCCATAAGACAAGAAAATTATTTCAGACAAATCGTACAAAGTGGTCACTCCTGATATTTCACTTCTGATATTCCATAACCAGAGAAATGAGAATGACAAACAGCTAGGCTTAATTGGTCATGGCTATTGAAAACATTATGCAGAGAAGTGGTCACTCCTCGCCATTGTGAAAAGACTAGAGGTCAAACCATCCACATGGAACAATTCAAAACATAGCCGTCATCTCCAATTTGTAAATTTGCAAATTTGCTTTTCCAAGTAAACAATAGGTCAGCTCCCAGTCGACGCATGGAATTAAATGGCAAAGAATGTTGGCATAAATTAACAGACACCAATGATTATGTACACACAACAACCAATATCATCTGCAAGCAGATAAAATGCTCATCACTGACACTTATTTTATCTGAATTATAAATTAGCTAAATTTTAGAAAGAAGTGCTTTAGGAATTTTGGGGAGATGAGAGGTATATGGAGAACTTCAAAAGAATTGCAGAAAAAATGAAGTGAAGCAAGCAATGAATGTGCCATCGAACATGTCAACAACAGAAGCCAGGTCAGGTAGAGGAAGTTTTGAATTTTGAACTATGCCTGGATATTGCACTGTTGCAAAAATGGGTGGTCAAAATTCAAAAATTTGGTCCAATAACTTTTATATCTGCCCATAGCAATATCCAACCATGGCTTCCTAATCCCATCATAGTGTATAACAGCAGCCCGCTCAATTTCACTTCGATCAACACCCGAGTTATGACCAAGGCCAAGAACATGCCATTGTCTGTCCAACAACATTGTCTTGTTATAGAAGGTGAGCCAGCCTAAAGGTAGACTTCCAACGTCCCACAAACCCTGTAACCATTAACCCAGACAAATAAATTAGATCATCAATGCATTATATTTTATTTTTAAAAAAGTTATTCAGGGGAAAGAAATGAGAAGCTGCTCAAACAAATTTAACTTTTCTACTCCATCTCAAACAGCAAATTGAATGATAAGGCATATTCCCTAATGTGATTCAACCACCAAAATAGATACATGAATACATGATACGCCAATTTTAAATACAAATGTAAATGCCATGGGGATATCGACCTTTGTCCAGATAATAGCCTCCTTTTCAGGTAATTCATAATCAGAAGTCATAGACTTTGGTTAAGAATGCTAAAAATGCAAAAAAAGAACATTGCATACTAGGATTGATACAATTCAATTTAAGAGTATGCATCCCAACAATTACTCATTAAGCATTCATTACCCCATCAATGCCAAGATCCTAATTCAAGAGTTGATGAGAGTTACGCGGACAAATTTGATTGGGCTGTAAAAATATAAAGGAACATTTTGTAATCATACCATTTGCAAATATCTGTGAAAGGCATTAGTTAAATGATGCTGCCTCCACTGTTGCAAATCAATCAAGTTCATCCCAAACGCCCATGTGCAAACATTGACGTCGAATTTCTCTCCAATTAATGGATCTGAGAAGTTTATGAACATATCAATCCTATGAAATGGGATTTTTCCTTCCTGACAAGTTCCAACTGCTCCAATTACATTTTCCTTCATATTGACATTCCATAGTCCACTGAGATCTTGTTGCACCACCACATCATGGTCAAAGAGCACAATCTTATTTAGAGCAGGAAAAATGTCGGGCAGGTAGAAACGCAGGTAGTTCAATTCCGACATGTATCCCGGATTGCTGGAATTATTTCTAAGGAAGGTATTGTACTTGGACAACCATTCAAAGTTGTCTATGCTCTGTATGTGTACTGTAGCTTTGCCAGGAGGGTTTATTAAGAACCACATTGAGATTGCGGGCAAGTTGTGTGATTGGGTCAGTACATGGAAAACAAGTTTCTCCTGTTCCTGCAATTTGGAAATCATTCTCAAGCTTTCTTGTAACAATATATAGACTTAACAATACAAATCAAAGTCAATAATGATAATTGTCAAGTTTAATAATGGAAAAGGAGAAAATACAGCAAAAAAAAAGAGTATAATATTGATAGTGTATAATTTGTCACAATACCTTAATGTTATGTTTGGATGAATTACAAGATTATATGTATTTGGATAGTAAGGAGAAGTGTTTTAGAATACTCCAAAATTTTAATAAGATAATTTTTATATCAAATATAAGGAATTTTACATGACATGTCTTCAAAGAGAATTTAAAAACTCCTCTATTATTATTATGCTAATCTTTTTGTAATTAGCATTCATAACTTCTCTTATACTTCACTCTCACTAAAATCCTCTCTCATTATTATTTTTTTTATTCTCCAAGAATTCTACAATTCTCCATCAAAATATAACTTAATAGTCTTACTTATACCGATAATTAGGTCAAGTACTACTAGTGTAGTAGTATTACTAGCTCAAGCCCCAGCGCATTCAAGAGAAGACTAAAAATCTAATAAATAAGCAAACAAAGTGGGAAATATTACAAAATTAGGAAACAACTCCTAAGATTGCTTACTCAATTAGATGATTAATTGATTCCACAATAAGTTCTAAAAATTTTAGAAGCTAATCTAAAGATGTCTTAAGTATAATTTAACAAGAATTTTCTCACAGCCCAAAATAAATTATCTATGCTGTAAAAAATTAAAATGAATCCACAGTTTTACAAGACAAGATTTCATGCAGAGAGCCAGCATTCTTCTAGGGAAAAAAACTTTTTATTAGGGGAATTAATACAACTTTCCTCCTATCTCACATCCTGTATATGCTGCAAGTTAGTCACTTCAATATAAATGCAGAGAAAGCTGATGAGGTAAAAGAGCTTGTCGGCTTGTCCTAACTGGAAATAACTGTCTATTAGTTAATGATGTGATTAACAATAATTTTCTTTTTGAAAATGCATCAACCTAGTTATAAGACGAATGGAGAGGTAATTTGGAAAATGAAGGGAAGTAATTTAAAAGAATTTTAAAAAGTTTAGCCACATATTCCCTTGCAACAGATCTTATATCTTACGTATTAACTGTTTTGGCTTCTCGATTCTACAATAAGTTCACAGCACCCAAAGCTGCAACTAGAATAACTATTTTAATCTTTAAGTTGCCAAGGTCAACTTCAAATTGCACTCAAAATAGCTTGATATGAATGCCATTACACCAAGTGACTAGCTCCGGTTCAAGCAGGGATTTCAACGATAGATCAAGTTCTTACCACAAGGTCCAACATCACCCTCTAAAATTTAAAGAATATAGTGAAGAAAACAAACACTTTAGGCTAATATTGAGGAGATTTGAGAGACATCAAGTCATGAACCATCCAAAGTATCCACTAAGGGACTAATAATAAGCTTTTGACATTGAAGTAACTTGACAGCTAAACTTAGTATTTGCTAATATCTTTTTACCTAGCAATTGCATCAGGAGTCACAATCATAAAAAGATTAAGATATCACCTTGGCAGTAGAGACAGTAGAGTTAACAACCACTGCACATGCCAGGACATTGTCAGAGAAGACAGCATAATGATAAAGGTCTGGATGATGAATCTTATTTTCATCTGGAAGCTCTCTCTCCTCAGGCTTTTGGGCAAAGTATTCTGCAGTCAGCCGCATAGAAAGACAGTGAATGCCTTTTGGGGCGGTCCTTGCAGCAAGATGAACAAGATATGCAACTTGATGTCGCTGAGAATGGACTTGCACTTCAGTGTTACGCTTCATTGCATTGAGCTTAGCAGCAATAGCAGAGCAGTCAGGGAAAGCACGACTGACTCTGGACAGTGAAGCCTCCAAGTGTTGCATTTTCTGCAAAGCACTGTGAATTTTGCTTGTTTTCAGATTGAAAAAGATTGTAAATTTCTGATACCAGTCCACACTTAATATCACATCAAATTTCTATATGAATTTCTTTCAGCCATTATTTTTGTACTAGAAGATAAGTTGTCAATACCCACTAGTTTCTCGCATATAATAATTTGAATTTTTGAGAACAGCTTATGAATTGGTCCCTGAAAAATAAAAGGTTTTTTTATGTGATCTCTCCATTTATAAGTCTCTCAATTAAACCCTCCTTGTACATTTAATTTGCTTCAGCTAATCCTTTATTACAACCTATATTCTCAATCAGTACTGGGGAGCAAAGTGGTTAAAAGACATTAGTAGTTTTAACTTGAAATTTATTCTTGATTGTATGTGTTAAACGCAATATATTGAAAACTAAATTCAAGCATAGACTTACATAGGAAACTTTACCTCCCTGACAAATCTGAATCCTGGGTGACTTCTCCAATTGCTTGTTCCATCTCCGTCATTTGCAGCTCCAACTGCTTCAAGCGCGCATTTCTGCTTGGTGGTGCAATTTTCAAGTATGCTTTGGCTAAAATAATTTGATCCTTAATCTCTTGAACCTTATTTGTCACTTTAATATTCTTTTTTGACATTCTCTGTGAATAGACATGTATATTCTTATCTCGACCCACAGAGGATAACTCTTTCTGCTGAGCTCCCTGCTGTTGTCTTTTATCTTGGTTGAATCCTGAAACTTGATAACGTAGCAAATTTCAGAGAGTCTCCACATACTTGATTACTTGAAGGCATTATGTAAGCCCAAAACTGTAAGCACAATAAATGCCTACATATACCGACCATTTCTTTCTAAAGGGGTACTTACCTCTGTACCCTGCAATTCTAGATTCCTCAGAATCATTATTCTTTTCTGAATTGTAACTAATTGTAGAAACAAAATCGTTTTCTGTATAAACAACTTGATTTGGCTCTTCAAATTCTTCGCCACTTTCCTGAATCTCAAAAACAGGTCCAAAATCACATTTGTAATTTAAAAATATTTATTTGTAAATTCACCTGGGAAGATAACAAAAAACCAAAGCTTAACGCAATGAGGAAAATTTTCTTATCGAATCTACTACTACCTGTTCTACAGCATTTAACTTCAAACTATCTGTCCTGTATGTCTGCAACCAAAATATAAATAAATTCAACTGGCTGCTGAGGAAGCAGAATAAATTTTTCCTCTTGAAGTAAATGATTCCAAAATATTTAGATTATATACGATTAAAATCTGATAAAGCACGAGAAATTCCGTTTACCAGTCCACTCACCGACACTACAAATTAAAAATCTATTTTAAAAAAAAACTTAAATATATTTCCTCTTGCTCAAACTCTTTCGAAGCAACCAAACATGGTGAATGCGAAACGCATTTCAATAAACAAACAAAGAAACAGTTAAAGCCTGAGAAGCAGGATTCTTACAACACGATATAAATCTTCTAGAAACTCTCTTCTCCCTGAAACGACAGTCACAGAAATGCACAAAATCAATCGAAGGAGTCATAACTCTAAAGTCAAGCAACCGCAAAGCTGCATTGCAACGTGCAAACACGCGCTCGCGTGATATGTGTGAATGAGAGAGAGAGAGAGAGAGAGAGAGAGAAGTTACCCAGGGGAGTGAGAAGTTTGAGGCGGTGAGAGACGAAAACGAGAGGAGCAACGACGGAGAGAAAGAGCAAAGAGAGGATGAGAATCCTCTGGCAGCGACGAAATTGGTTCATTGGTGGAGAACGCAAGTGTTCGTGGCTCTGTGGTTGAAGATCCTTCTGGAGAAGCAGTACATTTCGAAGATTCAGATCCCAAAGATGATACAATGCTTTAACCAGAAGGAGCACACGGCTAGGGTTTGGTTTCAGCGTTCAGTTACTGTTTGTGCTGCAAGTCCAAGAGAGACAAAGACAACTAAGCAGAAGCTCGACTTCGTCCATGTTTATCGTTCGGACACGGCTGTGACTATCAGTGAGAAAAAGTACTAAGTTCAATTTCCTTTTTTAGAGAGAAAAAAAAAACCCACCCATTATTATTATTTGTAATTTTATATTCAGATCAAATACACATTCGGATATATTTAGATTGATTTATTTTAGATAAAAAAATGATTAACTTTCTAATTAGAATTGTAAATATATGATAACCACTTTCTAAGATTAAATTATTTTCAATGTATTCTGGATCCCACGATTATGTAACATAGTATTATTACTTTTGTTATATTCTTTAATTATTAAATAAAATTTTAGTGTGAGTTTTTAAGTTTAAATATTTAAAAATCTAGTCGCTCAAGTTTGTTTATAAGTATACCTACTTACGACGAAAGGAAAATAGAAGAAAAAAAAAATACATAAATGTGTCTTTAATAGTGGATAAAATTTAAAAATAAGAACACACGCAATTAATTTAAATAAGAATCTATGCCAAGAAAATTAATTTAAATTAAAACATTTAACGAATACTTTATTTAAAATTAAAGATTAGTTAATATTCAAATTTAAAAAATATACGAAAGATAAGTTCAATAAATTGATCTTTATGTTACATCAATATCCACATCAAAGGTGTTGGAGGAGGGGGAATCAATAATAATAAAAGGGAAAGATTTTACAATTTTGTACTATTAAATTACTTTATATGGTCAATGTCAAATTTATATTAGTAAGTATTCCGTACGTCATTTAAATATTTTGAAAAAATTTAATAAAAACAATAAATAACTTTAAAAAGTTTAAAAATATTTTTAAAATATAAGAAAATTTTAAATTGTAAGCATTTTTCATAATAGAGAATTTTGTTTAAGGCAAGAATATTAGAAAAGGAACATCCATAAAAATATAAAGATAGCACAAACACAATCGCCATCACCATATTTGAACACAGCATATTAGCAATGACATAATGTACCCTCTTTTTTTACTAATACAGACCTTAAATTTCGAAAATAAGCTTCTTATCAAAAAAGACAATAGTTTTGGTTACTCATTGACATCCCTCTAGAACTGTTTCACAGAAGCAACTCCTCAAGAAAACCATTTGCAAAGCGTACCAATAAGAAACTCCGTATAAAACTGGCTTGTTTTGCACGAATAACAGCTATACCATTCTTTTTGTCACAGTGGCGAACTAAGGCTTCTTTTCAACTCTGGAGCATCCTGAAACTCATTGAAATACCCCAAAAATAAGCAGGCAAAAGATAACAGAGTATAGCACTATCAACCTTTTGGTGGGCTTCGAATGTTGAAATTTAAAGGGATACCACTCACTATGCTATAATGGAGAAAGATCAAATGGATCATAAGCAGAAAGGGGATTGGGATTCAGATGTGCAGTTCATGAATGGAGCAGAGCTCTGTTGATATACAATAAAAGTAAAAACAATACAGAGCTATGTGGATATTATTAGAAAGAGGTTTCTATCAGTGATATTTACACTTTTCATAAATTTAAAAGGATTTCTGACATAAGTTAACACTAAGTTTTAAGGGAGATCAGTTACAGTTAAATAATAATATAATTTATTTCCAAATGGAAAATTTGATATTCTAATTATTTATACATACATACAATTGGTCTTACATTATTTTTATAAATCAAAATTCAGATTAGTTGAAGCAAAACAATCATTACTCTATTTGATAAAAAATAATATCGCCACCAATAAGAGATAAGATAAAACTCTTCTATAATATATTTGTTGCAATTTATGTGAATTGAATGTTAGAATATTGGAAGATGACTTACCACAGATGAGTCACTGGAATAACTTTCATTTGAAGCATTTGCATCTTCTCCCCCGAATTCTGCATCTGAATTATTGAGACCACTGGAGTTCTCAAAATTAGGTTCATCAACACTCCTGTTGTGATATTTTAGCAATGCTTCAGGTCTAAAATCTTCCTTACTTAACACATTATACGCGCACTTTTTTATTTTTTGCTGTTTCCCTCGTACATCAAAACGCAACCTACTTATTTCACTGAATTCAGGGTTCCGATGCTTGCTAAAATCCTTTGATTCAATTATATTGTGGTATCTTCTGTGATGCAGCTGAATGTATATATAGCTATCATTCACTATCATTGTAACAAGGCAACTGTTATAATGCGCTTCTGCGTAGGAGGAGAGATATAAGGAGCGGCCAGCTTCAGGATGGGAAGCTTCAAAATTCCAGGAGAGCTCTATCTTGAAACTTGGCAATGTTGAAGGTTCGAATGCAATGAATACAACAATTCCCCACCACTCACCCGTGCTACATTCCTTAGGGATGTCCACTAGTATTGATGCACTTGATTCAATTTTTGACAAATGCGAACCCACAGGAAAAAATATCTCATTACCAAACTTTGGAGGAATTTCAAGGTAAATAATAGGATAACTCGGATCCCTAACCTGTAGCAACCAAACATCATTTTAAATAAAACATATGCTAGTAACTTCTATATTTAGTATAACATCATGTAAATAACTAGCAAGAACAAGAGGGACTGTGTAAGAGAATGTATAGGTACCTGACATAAAAGCTCACTGTCATGGGACTCAAATAGCTTCCAAAACTCCCATAGATCCAAGAATAAGCCAGCTTCCACAGGAAAATCTACCAGATGCCGAAGCACAGATCCATCAACAAAGCTCCTGCAACCTTCTAACTCAAGAAAGCATAGCTTGGAAAGATTAGCAATGCTGGCAGCAGGTAGCACAAGATCTTTATTCCCACTTAAAATTAATGTCTCCAGCGATGATAGGTTGCCAAGATCTTCAGGAATTAATTCACCATAGAGATTGCAATAGCTTAAATCAAAAGTAACTAATGAGGAAAGTCCTGAGACAGAAGCAGGCAGTACTAGGTATTTGGGAGCTGGTTTCTCACTAGAGTTGGATACTGGCCCACTGCATCCACGAAATGAAAGCCTTTTGAGATTTTTCAAATGAAAAAGGGATGCATTCACTTCTCTAATAGAGGTTTTGCTTAGATCAAGATCCTCCAAAGCCTCATTTTCATTTATATTTACTGGCAGTACACAGACTTTTGAGCATCCAGATAAATTAAAATGCTTGAGTGACTTCAAATTACTAAGGGTATTTGGAAGGCAAAGAAGATTTGAGCAATTCATCAAATTCAACACTGATAAGCATTCCATATTCTCCCCAAAATCAGGAAGTTTCCTGATGTTTAAGCAGCCACAAAGAAATAACCTTTTCAAGGAACTCATTTCCAATTTACGTGGCAGAGTTTTAAGCTTTATGCATCCTATCAGGCTCAGTACCGCAAGCTTCTTATGCTGCCCAATGGATTCGTGAACTTCAATGAGCGACACACAACCATCAAGGAAGAGCTCTTCAAGATTTGGTACACCAGAAATATTTGGTGTGTGAATCAAATAGTTGGAATAACTCAAATCGATAACTTTCAGTTTCCCAAAAAACTGAACAAAACAAATAAAATAAAAACAAATTGATCAGCACATTTGAAGACCTTATGTATATAAATTTTGTAGAAATTCACTATTGTCCAGCATTCTTGCCTGATTTCCATTCCAAAGTTTTACTAATCTGCTGTTACTCATTTGCAAGTGAACGAGTTCATGCAGTTGTGCACCATGCGGTAGAGCTTTGAAAGGATATTCTGTCCATATTAGAACCTTTAAAGAGCTAGGAAGACATTTAAGACTGCGCAGAAGGTGCAAATCACATAACATGATGAGTAATTTAAGGTTACACATCATAGAGAAGGCTCCAGGGTGCCATTGTTCTTCAAATGACTCTGTTTGTTGCTTCAAAACTACTCCTTGAACTTTCTCACTTCCCTGATATATAAAAAAATGAGGTCAGATAAGTATCATAAGACACGAGAAATCCAGCAAAAGTAATGAACAGTATTGATGGTATCAAGAAAAATGGAACTTACTGTATTTGTTCTCAACACTTCGTTGATATCCTCTTGAGACCAAAGCCTACTGCGTTTACCAGGATCATTTGGAGATTCCTGGAAAGCAATTGTTTTGCCCATTTCTTCAACTGTATCATGCATCCATAGAATTCCGTCTTTGCAAGTTATCAACGATTTTTCAATAAGAACATTTACTCCTATAGTTGAATGAAAACCACAATGGCCCAATATCTTTGTCACCTTGTCTTTGTACCATCCCTTAAAAAAGCAAGCAATATCAAGAAATATAGTCTTGTACTCCTCTTCCAACATGTCATAACTTATCTTTAGTTTACTCATTATATCATCGTGTTGAGTTTTACTTATCTTAATTAAAGCATCTTTCCATTCATGTATACTTCTTCCAGAGAGGAAACGACCTAGCACTTCAAGTGCCAAAGGAAGGCCTCCAGAATATTCAACTACCTTTCTTGACAACTCCAAATAATCTTCGTTTAGTTGGTGTCCTTCAAATGCTTTATCAGAAAAGAGCTGAAAAGATTCATCAGTATTCAAGGTTTTCATCTCATACAGTTCAAACAATACTCGATGTGATGTCAGGAGGTGTTTGTCCCTAGTTGTAACAATTATTCTACTTCCTGGTCCAAACCATTTTTGGTTTCCAGCCAAATTCTCTAGTTGTTTTTTGTCACTCACATCATCAAGGACAAGAAGAACTTTTTTGTTGTGTAAACAGTTCCTGATGCTATCCCTTCCCTGGTCTGAAGTTTCAATTATCATGCTCTTTAGTTTCATATGTGAAAGAAGCTTATTTTGTAGGAGAACTAGACCTTGATCTCCTTCTTTTGAAGCTTCTCTAACATTGGCAAGAAAGCAACTCACATCAAATTGACTTCGGATTTTCTTCAAGATAACATTGGCAAGAGTTGTTTTTCCTATACCACCCATTCCCCATATGCCAATAAAGCAGACATCTTCAGAACCTGGCCTTAAATGTGAATACATTTCATCTACTTTTGTATCAATTGCAACTAGTCCGTCATTAAACACTGGCAATTTAGGTTCTAGTTTTCTCCACACTTCTGTAACAATTTCTTCAATAAGGTCTGATTCATACCTACATAAACCGAACAAGAAATAATTTGTACTAATTTGAATCCCTTTTAACATTTTTTGGATATGCACGGGTGAAGAAAGATAACAACACACAATTACACTTTAACACTCTTAATTATAGGTTAAATTTAATTATGATACAAAATGATCTGGGTGGGTCCTACAGCATAATTTCGTGAATCCCAAAATTTTAGCCAACAATAGTGTCCTCAAAAGAGTATTTCATAATGCATTGTTAACGTATCTTTGTTTTAAATTCCCAAATTTCAAGTGTTCATCAATTTAGGCCACAAACTTCTTGTTTAGGAATTTAGGTTTCAGGACAGTGGAGTGGAGGGACACACAATTTTATTCTGTTTACTTTTTGACCCAGTCAGACCACTGGTTTAGTCCAATAAACATGCAAATGTAGTAATAATCTTCTTATTGCAGAGTGTTTACTAGAAAGTTTGACTATCAGTTTATAGCCCAAATAATACAAGAAAAAAAATTAAAAGAGCCTTTCAACTTTCTGGACTGTTAATTTATGGATTAGGCAGGGCCAGGTTAAAAATAAGTTCAGGCTATAACTTTTTGAACCTAACCTACTTCTTAATATTGGATTAATACAATCAGCCCATTGAACTTGGTTTATTGGACACACTCATCTCCACTGAGTAAAATGAGCGAAATTGACTAGAAAAAATAGAATTCAATTCAATCAAATATAGGTATATTTCCTTAAAATTAAGAGTCTTTAATGACTTTCTTCATTTTTGTATAGAATATTTACCATTTTAAAATGGAAGGAGAATTTAAAAAGAGCACACCATAAGCATACAGTAACCCATTGGGTTATCTCAACTAATTAATAAGGAAAAAATATAAAAAATCCAACTCTTATGTTTCTATGATCATACCTACTTTCTCTTACATCTATTTTTCATTCTCTCTTTCTCTCTATCTTTCTCTTATTTTTTTTATCACATCATCCATTGCATCGTATATTCTTTCTGTGCTACTTTTTTTCCCTTTCTTTCTATCTTTATCTTCCCACACCCATTGGACACCCCAAAATAGAATGTAATCATTTTTGTATTCAGTCAGATCTACTAAATAAAACCTTATGTATTAATTTACTGTCAAATAACCTCAAGTAGTTTTTAGGTTGCTCACTTCCAACTGTTAATTTTAGTTACAGTTCATGACAATATCTGGATTTGAGGAGTTATCAAAATGTTTTCACAAAAAAAAAATGAAAAAAATTATATCAATACTGATTTATCTCTTACCGATTCCTAGAGTCCCAGCCAGATAAGCCAGCAACATCTTGCAAAGCTTTTCTCCACTTCTGCACTCTTCCTTTGTTTTCTACAAGGTTTTCTTCATGTTTTTCAAAAACTTCTGCAAAACTTCCCTTTTGATGTCGTACATCAGAGGGATCCACACGGTAGAAAACTGGAAACGCTTCTCGGCCCAAACTATTTTTGGATTCAACAATCTTTTGTAGCTCATCCAAACACCACGTGGAAGAAGCGTAATTTTGGGAGATTATGATGATTGCACATAGAGATTCCTCAATTGCACAAAGAAGCTCTTCGGAGATAACTTCACCTCTTGTAAGTTCATCATTATCTCTGAATGTTTTGATACCCTTCTGAAGCAAGGCTGCATATAGATGATCGGTGAAACCAAAGCGGGTATCTTCACCCCTAAAACTCAAGAAAACATGGTACTTCCATTCTGATTTTTTTGAAGAATTCCTGCTCAGTGCCATTGAAGGCTCATGGATTTTATTTTACTGACATTAAAAGAGCATGGTGAAGTACACAGGCTTGTAGCAATCTAAGCTAAACTGCAATGATCAAAACAATACAAGTTAATCAACAAGGATATTCAAAATGTGAAAGGTAATTAATCACAAGCCAAGCAATATTCAACCCAAGTGTGATGCTGATAGATCTACAACAAAAATGAAGAGGTAGGTGCTAAAAAAAAAGACGTTGAAGTCAACGTGCGGGAATTTTTAATTTGATGATCCAATTGCTATCTTTACTTTTTCTAATTTTTACAATTATATTTTATTCTTACGTAAGATGGTTTTCATGGTTGGGATGTCATGTACAATTGTTTCGCTCATTCCGGTGGTGACCATATATATATATATATAATTATAACAAAATTAATAACAAAGAACGAGAAAAGAAGAGAAGAGAAAAAAATGTGTCATAAGATAATTAATATGAAGAAGATTTTTTTAAAAATAATATTATAAGAAGTAATGTAGAAAAATATTGTATAAATTATATAACTCTTAAATAATTAAGTATCAAACAATCAACTGAAACAAATGTATATTTCACCTAAACAAAGAAATTAGGTTACATTGTCGGAAACTTTTACTTACAGCAGAAGTTTTAAAAAACATTTTAAACCTTTTTTACAAAAATATAAGATTTCTTATAATAAGTTCTTTAGAAGATAGAAATGAAAATATAACTCTATTAAACGTCCAAATGAATGATATAAATTTGACATATTATCTTAGAAGAAATAAACAAAAAGGCTCTTAAGAGAATGAACAATGATAAAATGAGTCTTGTTGAAGTTTGAAAAAAAAAAAAACTTAATTACTCATCAAATTTTTTAATGAAAATTTGAAATATAAGAATATACTAGATAATTGGAGGGAGAACACTTTGATTCATTTATATAAAAATAAAAATAATATTTAAAACCATTTAAACTATAAAATGATTAAACTTATTAGTTATATTATTAAGATGTGAGAAAAAGGTGACAAAATAAAGATTATATGATGAAACTAAAATTGCAAAAACTCATTTTAATTTTATGCCAAGAAGGTCTACAACCATAGTTATATATATATATATTTTTTTAAAATTAATTGAAAAATATCACTGTTAAAAAAATTTACATATAATTTTTATTAACTTACAAAAAATAATCGGGTACAAAAAAAAATATTATGAAAGACTTAAAAAAAAAGAGATATGTATAACATACATTTGACCTATAAAAAAATGAATACGCGTATGATAACTTTTAGAAGTGTGTCTAAAGACTTTCTAATTAAGTATGTGATAACTTTTAAAGATATATTTAAATACTTTTCAATAAAGATAACTAAAAGAATGAGTATGCGTGTAATAACTTTTAAAAGTGTATTTAAGGATTTTTCAATTACTAATGTGATAACTTTTAAAATAATATCTAAGGACTTTCTAATAAAGATAAGTTTATATCAAAGCTTTGTTTTAAATCCTTCTTATTTAATTTAGTTTAAGATGAACTTACAAGTGATATATATAATATTATCTTTAAGTACATAATTTTTGCATATATAGTGTTAGTTGAATATTCAAAAGAAGAAGTTAACATTAAACTTTAGTTATGAAGAAAGATTTTAAAATTTAAGAATTTTCGCTTTACTATAAGTAAAATAGAGTATACATATTGTAAGTTTAGCAAAAAAACAAAAAGAAGATTATGGGTTGGAAGTTAAAATTGATAATAAAATTATATCGCAAGTTTTCAAGTTCAAGTACTTGGGATCAATTATATAGAATAATAGAAAAATTAATAAAAATATTACTTATACAATACAAGTTAGATGATTAAAGTAAAATAAAAACATTAAAAATTATTTGTGATATCAAATTAAAAAGAAAATTTTATCATATTACAATAAAACTAGTTATCCTTAATGACGGTAGATGTTTAACTTAAATGAATAACTCAAAAAGTCAAAATGACAAATGATAATGATAACTAAAAATTATCTAAGGGGGAGACTCAAAAGAAAATTAAACTAATATATTAGATTAAATTATTAAAGGATACATTTTGATTATTTTAATTTCTGAAAATTTAATTATACATCAATTTTAATAGTGTTGTATGATTTATATAGCTTACCTGGCCTAATAGAATCATAAATTCAAAGCGACAAACATTTTTGTTATTTAAATGTTAAGTTAGCTTTTTTTTTTTTTTTTTGCATATTTTGTCATTTCAAATTATTTTTATTTTATTAATCTGCAATTACTTAATTACTGTGATTTTGACCAAATAATTTTTCAGCTATCAAATGATTTATTTTCTTCAATCTTTAATTTTTTAAATCCACCTAACAAATATAGATATTAATTGTATTGTCAGTGTTTATGGCTTATACCATACAGAATGTTGAACATCTTAAATAAGTTAAATTTGTTTTCAATATGAATGACTAAAAAGATTTGTACATTGTTCTACATACGAAAACCTTGGAATTTTGTCGCTAAGAAACATGATTTTAAGTATTCGATTTCAACACATTCAGTTTCACGCATCGAATCTTACCTTAAATACTAACTACTATTCTAAGTATCGACTTAAAAGCGTAAAAGGTAAATTTGGTGCTAAGCTTAAGTAAAAAGAAAAGGTACACACCGTTTGACTCCATTCCTCAAACCGATGTTGAGGTAGCAAGGAATTAGAATTATTAAACTTATACACATAAAAAATTATGTATTTTCATATATATATATTGAATATTATTATATCATGTTGAATAATAAAATAAAAACATCTAAATTTGACGACGAACGAGCGAGCTCGCATCAGAAAAAGTCAGAAGGAAATTTTTCAATAGACAATGAGATGAGCTTTTAGATTTTTTAATTGCTCAAATTTGTAATTTTAAGACGGTAAAGTGATAAGCTTCCGTGAAAATTATATATATATTATAAGCTTTTAAGTAAGATTTTTGTTTTTTGAAAATATAATAAATTTAACAATATCTTAGACTTTTTTTAGTGACGTCACAGACTTTTTTCAGCTAAATAACAAAATAGGACAGTGTTTTTATCAAATTAATAGACTTTTTAAAAATATATTAAATATATATTTAATATAAAATTAACAATAATAAGTATTAAACATTTAAACAGAAACAAAATGACCCGTTAGAAATTACCTTTATTTCTTTTTTTTCCTCTTCACTCCATCCAACTAAAATAACAAGCTTTCCTCACTTCCCTCCAAACAAGTCCCAAAAGAAGTAACGGTCTCTAAATCTTGTAGAACTCGGCTGAGTCTTTCCCCGCTCACGTGCTTCAGTTTTATTCGCCGCTATTTCTGATTTGGATCCTCTCTTTGAGGTCCACATGTTATAGCTATGATGAGATCATGTTCATTTTTCCTAGTGTTTGATCGAGACTCACTTTATGTTCTCTCATGTTCAAAAGGGACACACTATAAGATGCCGTATTTTGTTTATGGTGACTTTATATTATTCTCACGCCTTGTTTTGTTTCATCCCTTTTCTGTTAGTACATTATTGTAATTTAAACTGACAAATGTTACAAAACTCAATTCCATTACATACAACTGGTAGTTCAGTTCTCAAATTGCAGAATGGTATAGAAACTTCAGAATTGGTTTCTTTGGTCGTCACCTTTTCTCTCCTTAGTCATAAGGATTGCTTTCTGGTTGCCAATTTTGTGTTAAAGATGATGTGAAGAACTGTAAGCATTTGGTTTGTTCAGATTGCATCTAGGTGAAACAAAGTATTGAGTGTTGAATTTATACCGTTACCATAGAATTTGACCGTGCTATTGGGGATTCTGTGGAAGATAATATCTGGCCACATGACCTTTTTCTCTCTAGTCATCTGGATTATCTTTTTACTGGCTAATTCTGTGTTAAGGTTAATATGTAGAGGGAGAAGAATGGTAAGCATCTGAGCGTTAACATTCAGTTAGTAATACTACTTTACTTCAGGAATGGTTATTTGTGAATCAAATTCTTCGGAAATTAGTTTACACCATCAATGAATTGTGTCAGTCTATTACTATGCTCAATTGTTAGTAGTATAGAAATTTATGGGCACATAACAGAATATATACTATATATACATAACTGACCAAAAGTAAATGATTAATGATTTAAAGCTAATACTCAGAAGAAAAGAAAGGCTCATAATTAATGAGATCAGAAAATCAACTTTAACCTACAATCTCCACTATTACAACTGTGTTAAGATTTGAATTTATTATGATCTTTATTGTCTTGAAATTTTTGTAAGGCCAACCTATACTAATACTGATAAGCTGTGTTAAAAAGCAAGAAAGTCCAGGTTGCCTTGACAATCGACAAGAATATGATATTTCTATAGCATAAATGCACTAAATTTAAATCGTCAATTATATGATATTTTAATGCGTGTTTTACAACTTTCCAGATCAAGTCCCTGGCAGCCATTGATTTTGTTGGATTTTTTATTATAATTTTAATATTTTGTGGAGAGTATTGAAATTTTGTGAAATTAACGCTAGTGAGGATCTTATATTCTGAACTCATTCTTAAACACTTGTACTCTATATCGACCAATGAGCTTTATCTGTATTTAAATCAGGCTAAATTGATTTACCAAGTTATTGCTACTTACTCCATTCTGAACTTATTTTGTTTATATTAATATGTACTAATGCACAGATTCCGTTGTGGTGTTCCTTTATGTAGGCACAAACTACCAAGTTGTTGTGGTTGAAGTAGCACAAACCCATGCAGCAGATTCAGAGAGTTTACCTTTCCCCAAATCTATGGTATCTGAGAGTTTCAATTATTGAAGCACAGGACATCAAGCCAGGGCACAGAGGGCTAGAAGTGGTGAGGTTCCCTGAGTTTTCAACAAAAATTCAAGTGGGAAACCAAATTTGGAGGACTGGAAATGCTGCTCCTGGTGCCACTCGAAGCTTCTCCAATACTTACTGGAACCAGGAGTATTTGTTTGTAATTTTTTTATGTAATCTCATATTTTAGTAATTTTGGAAAAAAAAATTACATAAAAAAAAGCCACTTCTACCTGTATTTTTTTCTTTTTCAGCTTTTTATACGTTATGCCGTTATATAAATACTTACCTCCTTATGAGATACTTCACCATTTGTATCAGACCTT